CTCATTTGAATCACATTAAATTATTATGAGGGATTTGAAACCAACAGTTCATGTAAGGAAACCCACAAACATCCTGCAACTGAAGAAAGTTTGCATGGTAGCGTGGTCAAAAATGTCATCATGTTGACACCAGAGAGTGGTAGGCAGTTATTCAAAACCCCTTCAAGAAGTTACTTCTGCTTTAGTGAACAACACCAACTTCTAAGGCCAAGAGTGTACTTACTTTTTCCATAGTACGTCATTATATCTTTTATTTGTGTTTAATGAACTATTGAAATGGCACATTTTCCTTGCGTTTTAAGTATGTCATCCTTATCTGAAGGCACTGTTTGGATAAAGCTGTTTGTCTATTCAAATATGTGGAAAACCTCCACAATGTCCATAGAGGTTACTTACTTTTTCACATGACTGTATATGTAATATCATAATAAAAATAATTTACCCACTTGCACATGAAACTGAATTTGGTTGAGAAAAATAATCTTCCTTAGTATAAGAAATGTGAGCACATGTCATTTATGAATCATTATATTAGTATGTCAGATCGACATAGCTTAGAAAATAAGTCAAGTCTAAGAAAAGCTTGCTGATGTCATATGTTTGGTGTATGTTCCCCTCTTAGTTTTACCTGTCAGGGCTGTTCTGACATTCATTACTTCTTCTTTCACTTGTGTCTTTTCTGTTCTGTGTTAGGGATTATTTAGGAACCCCATCCTCACCAGCCAGGGCTGGTGCATTTCAAAGCTGCACTAGTAACAAGTTGTTGAGAGTCTATAATAGAAACTAGGCAGCATCAAGATTTAGAAGTAATTTAAAGTATTCTTCTGAATGATCAGACCACCTCTCCAGATGCTGGATGCACTACTTTCAGCTGAAAGGTTTCTACGAGCTGAAATATGATCACCTAGCAGGGAACACTATCCCGTTGAAAACCTATTCTCACAGGAGACAGGACCTACTCACCTGATCTACATAATCTATAACCTACTGTAACCTACTACTTAAGGAGGTCAACCCTAACCCTCCACACTATATATTACAAAATGGGAATGGGAATTAGAATATTCCCTCACTGACCTTATAAAATCATACAAAAACTTAGTAGAGCCAGTTAACTCCAAGAGAAAAGTTTTAGGTGTCCCCAGACACTAAATGGAATTTTGCCACACATGCCTGACACTTGCTGGCGATATGCTGTCCCAGTGGGTACTACATGAATAGGTTAAACCATGATCCATAGTACATAACATGTAGTTGTACTATGGATCATTTAAAGTCACCTGTCCCTTTAAGAAAAAGTATCGGTAATTGGTATCGGCAAGTACATGAGGGGATGTACTTGTACTTGTACTTGGGCCTGAAAAAGTGGCATCGGGACATCCCTAGTACTATGTATCTTAGACACTCACAACTTATTAACATCTTTCTCTATACAAAGCCCCACAAATCAAGCATAAAAGAGCTTACTTAGATTTTTACAATTGGAACCCAAATAAATCATACCAAGTTATTGGGAAAACAAAGGCCAATGGTGAGGGAATTGATAGAATAACTCAACCACCTGATGTGCATGGTGGAACTGATAACCCAACTATATGACTGATAGTCTCAATTTACAATTTAATCCCTTCATGACCAGCGACGTACAGTGTACGTCGCTGGCATTGGGGCTGTTTGAACAGACTCCCGGCACTCTTTTTAAACTTGTAAAGCCGACTGCCGGCTTTACAGTGTAAGCGATTTTGGCGGCTCAGCTGCCGCCAGATCGCTTCTACGGGCTGGTGAACGGTCCCCCCACCCGACACCACCGTCGTGTTTCATGGGCTCCGTTGCCCCTCCTACGGACCCGGGACCGGCTTCTTTTGTGTCAGCGGGAAGCTGGGGAGAAGATGGGCGAACCTCCGTTCGCCGATCCCCTCCCTGTTCTATGGGACCGGGAGCGATGCAGATTGCATCACTTCCGGTCCCATAGCTGTCAGTGCTGGGTGTCTGAAGCCCAGCAATATGATATTGAAGTGTGATCTGCACTTCAATAGCTTATTTCAAGTGTAAAGGTGATACTAGGGGTCTTTTGGACCCCCAGCATCACCTTAAAGAGTACCTGTCACCACCAGCTGCTATCACATGGGGGGCTTGTAAGCCCCCCTATGTGACAGCAATGAAAGAAAAGTAAAATAAATAAAAACATTTTTAAAATTAACATTAAATAAAATAAATGTAAAAATAATTAGAAAATGTTTAAGTCCCCTGCCCCTGAAAGCACGCGCGTCTTTCACGTAAACACGTGTCAGGTGCGCCTATGTATGAAAACGACGAACACGCTACACATGTTGGGTATCGCCACACACGCCAGAGTGAGAGCAATCATTTTAGGGCCAGTATTTTTGGGTATCTCTAAACTGATGACCTGTGGAGGCTTTTAAAGCGTCGTCTATGGACTTTTTGGGGTACTGAATTTTGTCGCCGTTTTACGGACGCACACAATTTGTAACCTGGGCATGCTGGGTATCTATTTAGTCGTTGTAACCTCATCTTTTATATTTTAGGGCATTTAAGTGCATTTTTCACTAAATTTTGGGGTTTGATAAGGAGTTGTGCTAATATCAAGCCACAGAAAAATTTGCAACTGCCACCATTTTATTCTAAAGGGTCTTGGCTTTCAGAAAATATATAATGTTTGGGGGTTTCAAGTAACTTTTAGGCCTAAAATGTGGAATATAAGATGGGTGCAAAAAATGAAGAAAAGGCCTCAGTCATGAAGGGGTTAAAGCATTACTTTTACGTTGAAAACCTCCGTTGGATAAACAATGCAGTCAATACTACATAGGCTGGGGATCCCACACTCAGGCATCCCTCACTTTTCTTGCTGATCCCTTTTTCTTATTTCTTCCCTAATATACTATCCATTGCTTTTTCTTACCGCTAATTACTAATTTTTATCTGCTCTTAGCACTTTATGCCTTTCCTCTACAACCTATATGAAGGCTCCTGCTTTACACCTACAGTAATTAACCAGAGGTACATACAGTCCTGCTACTTCAAATGTATTTCTGACACATCTGCTCAATGTTCTTTGATGTACCTGAACACAATGTATAAAATATGGTCTACACTCAGTGAATTAACAATTCTATAATATAATTAATACCTGACATGTCTAATGAATGTGTGGAATGATATCCCAGGGTGAGGGCAGACAGCACCTCACGTGTACTCTTCTTTGTTTCCTATATCCCATTTTTCAGTTTCCAATAATGCTATATTGTTTGTAATCTTGAATTAAAATTTTATCCGAAAAAAACAACAACTAATCTGCTAGTTTCTATTTATTAGAATCTCACATACGCATACCCTGGTGAAAGACAAAATCTTCACTGTAAATTGTTCTTAGTAGGAATCACAAATCATGGATTTATGAGTATGGCGTGTTTGAGGGAGAATATATTTACTAATGGTTGGCAGTAGCTCTATTAGAGAGCAATTTATTTTACCCATGTTCTGAAAAAGTCTGATTCCAATAATTCTAATAAACACTTGGAGAAAGGAACTTTATTTGAGGGTAATGTAGAGAATGTAGGCTTAGGAAGTAGCATGAGTTGGGGTAAAACTATAGTAGGTTTTCCAAACTTCAAGATGTTATTAGAATGGTTAAAGTGCTTTGGTGGTTTAACCCTTTCGCTGCCATGCCCTTCAGAGCGCTTTTAGCCTCAACTGGCCACACCATTTATGCAAATGTTTCCCATTGCTTTGAACCCCTATTTTTGTATCTAGCGTTTGTAAAAGACCCACAAAACCATATATTTTCTGAAATACAGGCCCGGTAGAATAAAAAGGTGATGCTACTAATTTTGTAGTTCCTGTGATAATTGCGCAAATGTTTGTCAAATCAATATTAAACTGATAAAAATACACAATTAATTGATGAAGCACACTAAAATTAGTATCAGTGCACAAAAAATACTTTTCTGACTAAATCTAAAAGATAAAAATGTATTGAGTTAATAAATAATAAATATTTGTACATTTTAAATTGCGCCTTTTTGCGAAATGGTAAAAAAATTAAGGAATGCAAAACTGTAAATAATTGACTTATGTTAAAAATCATTTGTGCGCTGTGCTGGTGTGTGATAAAATGAGGCAGATGTACATTTAATCGCAACACAGCGTATCACAACACATCACAGCCTTTTGCCCTGCGCTGCCACAGTTAAAATAATGTTATTTTGAAAAGAAAAAAAAAGAAAACAAAATCAAGCACTGAGATGCGTTCTAACAATTCCCCTGCATTGCATGTGCATGGCGTGCACCACAATATGGTGCATACTGTTGCAGGTGCATAATATGGGTGTTGGGGAGGAAGGGGGGTTGTGTTTTATTTTTTTAATGTATTTATTTATTTTTTCGTAATTTTTTTTCTTGCTGTTTAGGGGGCTTTGGTTAAATAGCATGGGTCTAAACAGACCCCTGACATTTCCTTTTTGAAATAGAAAAAGAAATTATGGACACAGTCCTCAATCTCCTTTTCTGCTGCCTCTGTTCTAAATGAATGGAAAACACTCAGTACAGAGGCTTCCCATTCATTCAGAAACTGTTGATAGTAAAACATTTACTATTAACCAGTCTCTGAATGGGGAGAAGCCTCTGTAGTGAGTGCTTCTCCCCTTTGAGAAAGTCATGAATGAACAGGAAGTGATGTAAAACACTTCCTGTTCATTCATAGCTGAGGACACATAGTACTATGTGCCCCCAGTTATTTTTATTTACAAACACTGGAGTACTATGGGGACACATAGTACTATGTGTCCCCAGTTATTTACAAACACCGAAATATCACAGATCCTCCGCCAAGTCACGCACACAGCCGCTGTCATCCTGAAACTGACAGGATGACAGCGGCTCCTCTCTCCTCCCAGCTCACTGCTCTATCATGCTGCTCAGCCATCCTGATTAATGACACCCTCTCCTTGGATCCCCACTGGAGCGAAGGGAGAAAGCCACCGTAGTAAAGCTTACTGAGCTGGCCAGCTGGAAACAGTTGTGTTCCGCCATAAGCCTTACGTTGGTGGCAGGGAAAGGGTTAAAGAGTAAGAACTGTCAAAAAATTATGTTGTTTGCTCAGTGCATGGCCAAACTGGAAGAAACAACTGGGATTTTACAAACACTTGTGGATGGTGATAACAATTTAATAGTTAAAATTTCAGAACAACTAAAGTTGTAGTGTTCATGCACTGTAACCAAAGTTTGGGAAACACATAAGCACACAAACCTCGAACTCTGAGAGGGCCTTCTTCAAGTTCAGATCCAGATCATTCAGTTTTTCCATGTTATTTTTCATTTCATCCAAAGTCATCGTCTCTCGTTTTCTAAAGGCCTCAATTTCAATATTGTAGCCATTAAGTACTTTCTCAAACTTTGAACGCCTGCAAAACAAATTATGATACAGTGCTATTGCAGGAATTGTTTTCAAAACATAATCTCCATGTATGCTCTGCTGTCTGCTTCTGTCACAATTAGACATTATTGTATATCATGCCATATAATTATCTGGAGAAAAATCAGCCTACATAATCCCATTATCCGACCAATTAGTCCTACAATTACAATTAAGTGGCTTTTTTTCCGGGGTAAAGGTTAGGGATAAATCAGTAAAGCCCTTTCAAGTTTGCCTTTATTCACCTTGAGCTGGAAGGTTCCATCCATAAAAGGCCAAGTAAATTAATGGTTCTATCATAAACAATCAACCTATTACTTATTAAAATGTACTAATTTTTATATTCTCTTTGTGGAATACTATAATATCAAATTTTTATAAGTCAGATATTTAAGTTAGAAATGTTTGACTTTAATCCTTGTCATGAAGTGTGTGAAATGTAGAAACATATGTACCAGGAGCATACAACACCATAACTTTATTTTCCATTTTTGCTTATTCATGGATCCTTCATAGACATTACCATGCAAAGGTTTGTATGCCTTCTGCCTACCATTGTTGGTGCCACAAGGTATCTCTTCAATCACATCCCAGAGAGGTGGCAGACCCTACTGCCAAGCATTGAGGAAATCTGGAGGCTGCTAAACTTTGCTACTGGCCAGCTACAGACATCAGATGGAACATTATTAGACCAAGAAAGATTGTTTATATAACAGTGCTTTTATAGACAAATGTTCCCATTAACTCAGGGCTGTAGTCTGTTGAGTCTTGTCTTATGTATGTGGCTAAGTTAAAATTTCACTCTAGCCTGAGGTAGTTTGAAACAAAGAAATTAGAATTTTTCAGTCAAATTAGGGAAAACAAAGTCCTGCTCTGTCCAGTGCAAGGACATTTTTACAGGTTATGGGAAACAGCTATTTGCAGGCTCGAGTGAAGCTGAGAAGGATGTACTAAAGTGACTCACTGATGCTACTATTAAGGTGGCTAAATTGTAGCAAGGAACTGTAGCTCTTCATAGGTTTTAACATCAAGCTACATATAATTGTAACCAAGTTCATTCTGTATATTTCAGCTTTAAAATGCACTAAACGCATCTGAGCTGACATTTGTTGATATGCTATTTTGTTTAACATGTTGAGTTGCACTGCTGTGCATTTCTTTTACTTATTTTTTTTAACAGCAGGCACCAAAATAGTTTATTTACTTTTCCTCAACATCAGTTGCAGTATGCTGCAATGCAGTGTAACATGTTGCAGTGTATTGCGCAATAGTAAAATAAAGCATGTTGCATTTTTTCCCCAGTGCACACCAACACAACATATTGCTGTGAACTGGGCCTATAGGAAACAAAGAATTTCGGACTGCCATTGCATTGGGTCTTCATTAAGCAACACATCCAAAAACACATGGTGTAAATGACCTGTCAGTGTCTGACAGTGCAGGGTAATCGGATTTTAAAGTGTAAGGATTAATGTGAGTAAAACAATATTTAGTCTGTTATGAAAAATTCTCTAAAAAACACTATGGAATATGTCAGCGCTGTAGAAAATGGAAATTATTATTTACTGTTATTGTTTTCAATTTGTATCTAGCACAGATACATCCTAACGTCTTGAAGAGCCTAGTAACATAAATTAAAAGCAAGTTTATAAAAAAATTTATAATAGAAATTTGAATATATCATATTAGAATATTATAATAATATATTTAGAATGAAAGTTGTTAAAGGGGAACAAAGTTAGACATGGATAAGTTTCTCCCACTAACTCCAAAAAAGGAAACTAGAAATTATTATTTTCGTACCAGCTTTTGCTTGAAATGGCAGCTGGCATAGAACAATAGGCTTCAAGGCAAAGTTGTGTAAAAAAGAAATATCTTTGTTACAGAGATTCATCTAAAAATAGAAGTAAATGGGTGTAAAAATGTATACCCCTGTATCTGGCACTATCTGGAAAAAATAATTTAACACATTCACTAAGAGCAACTACAGATTCCCCAGCTTGGGTTAATTGAGTTCACAAAATGGTGTCTGATCTCCAACCACCATTTTTTTGAGTTTACACAGCTGCTTTTACCCAGACACATTCTGAAGCAGAACTACAAAAAAACAAGTTTGATGTGTAATAGCTAGTGGAAGGAATTTGCAGTTTTTCACCTGATCCTACCTCATGCTGAATTCCTAACCTTGGCTTCCTAAATTAGCTTTTTAAAGCAAATCTCACCACTAAAGGCAAAAACATAGTAATCTTATTGCTAAAATAAAGAGCCAGAGAACATAAATTACAAGTTATAGAACACATATTTTAAACGTTTCTTACTAGATGCTATTCTTATAAGTGAGATTATATTGTGGTATGTGGACAGAAAGACATTTTGCTGTGCACAAATCTCATAGAAGAATACTGCCATCTGACACTTATAATTCTCCTTTAGCCTAAAATATCACATGCAAAAATTCAGCAAAGACAAATAAAATGTAAAATTCCTACCAGACCTAAAGGGCTTAGTGTGCTTTTGTGGGGAACCTCACACCCTTTTTTTTTTTAACTTGGTGGGTCCCTCCTAACATTCCTACCAGACCTAAAGTGCCTGAACCGACTACCGCTAACGAATTTCGTCCGAATCCTGAAAGGAATTGACTTTTGGAACCGAATCCCGAAAAATGAAATAAAGGAAAATCTGAACTGAAAAAGAAACAAAACAATTGTTTTGCCAGAACACATGTCTACTGGCCAGTTCTTGATGAACTGGACAAAATTAACTCAGTGGATGGCCCTGCCTGCGAGCTGCAGCTCGACATCCTATGTAAAATTGTCAGGCGTACATCACCTTCATCCAACCAGATTTAGGCACTGTTCAGGTATTTTGACAGTTGACCCTGCTACAGGAGATTCCTCCATCCATGCTATTTAATGTGTCAAATTTTTTGTTCATCTTTCAGGGAAACAGAAAAAAATCTATTAATGTATACCTAGCTTTACCAGTCCTTAGATGTAGTGGCTGCATTCAATCTCTTTTTTACGTTTTTCAAAATACATTTTCTGCAAGTGTAAAAAAAGTACCGGTTGATCCTGTCAGAAATCCAGTATTCTTGTAACCTCCTTAAGAGATAAAGTACAGTGAGTGAGCATTGTCACCCTACCACAGGAAGTGTGTAACTGGCAGGATCACCAGATAAAAATGAAGAGAAAAAAATCTGAAATATGAAAACTAATGCAGCCACCACATTTAAAGTGACATTAAACCCTCAGATTTTTTAACATAAACCAATACTGTAATGTGTGCCTTACTGTAATCCACGGTTGTTTCCCTTCTCTTTGCTGCTCTTCCTTTTAAATCTGTATCTGTTCTCATGCTCTGCAGAACTTCTGTTTTGCAGCAGACTGCCTTGTCTCAGGAATGGATACACGGTGTCTGTGTAGATTTGTATAGGCTTGTAACCTGAGCCAGCACTACAGGAAGAGGCCCTGAGCTGAAAAGGGAAGTTCTCCCCAAGCATGAGAAGACATGAGGATTTAAAAGGAAGAGCAGCAAAGAGAAGGGAAACAACCATGGATTACAGTAAGGCACACATTACAGTATTGGTTTATGTTAAAAAATCTGAGGGTTTAATGTCACTTTAAGGACTGTAAGCTACAACATAATACACTTTTGTTCAGGGGTTTTGAGAAGCTTCAAGCGCAAAGTAAGTGTAAAACCATGTATGCAGTGTGTTTATTGTTGTTCAATGCTGGATTTTGAATTAACCAACATACTGTATTAGCATTTAATTACCTTTTCCGCAGCTCATCTTCAGCCTGGTCTCTTTTGGCCATTAAACGATTATTATTGACTTCAAACACTGTTTCTATCTGTTCCGGCCAATGAAACACAGCACTGTTCAGTTTTAAATCATCATCTGCAATCAAATGAAACAATTATAAAGTAGAAATACAGCAATTATAAAATAATCTTTTTTTATATAGATTAAAAGGGAAATTATAGATGTAACAAAGGAAACCACAAAAAGATAATTTTAAAAGTTAATATAGCACAGTTATATAAAGGCTATAAACAATACAGAAAATAATTGGCACCGTCTAAAGCAACCAATCAGTGGCATATTTTACAGAAAACTACAATCAGTAATCGTACATATTATGAGTTTTTATGTACTTGGTTTTTATTACAAAAGGGACTGAAAGTAACTTTCTTTGATGGGATAGCAATGGATGAGGGCTTACTGACACCAAACAACACTATGTACAAATGAGTAAGCAGAAAAATAACATCAAAATAAGCTTTAATTCCTGAACCTATCAGAACACCGAGCAATGCGCTCTTATGAGGTGTTGATGCGAGACATTGGGGGTGATTTACTAACCTAAACACAGGCACGCACCAGGTGCGTGTGATTTTCACACAGCAAAACGTATTTATCAACCAAAAAGTCTCTAAAAGCATATTTCCACTAATGCCATATATGGAAAAATCATGCACATGATGCATATATAATGCTGCTTCACAGTTTAGACAAAAATGGTTAGCTCATGCATTTACATTCCTGCATTCATCAACGCAAGCAACACAACATAGAGCTAATTTACACAACATCACCTTGCAATTCATGCTTGGCTTTGCACAACACACCTGCTGGGTGTATACACACTACAAAGGTGTTTAGATTCCACCCATAGATCATGCTGGGAGGGAACACACTACAGAGGTGTATACATGTTCGTGGTGTGCTATAAGGTTAGTAAATCAACCCCATTATATCACACTGAAGGACTTAATCTTCAAGAAATGTATTTGTATGCAGTTCTAAGAATTACAAATACTCCTGTATATATTGGAGCATATTCTAAACACAGAGGAAGAGTCTCTTATGAGATGTTGATACAAGGCATTTAATTTGTATTTACGGGTCAAACAGAGCTTAACTTGTGGAACATTTAACATTGCACAGTATACAAATGAGAAAAAGAGACCTGCAGATGTATGGGTTAACACTGCTTTTTGCAAAGTGCACTGTTAGATCCTACTTGAACGTGAAAAAGGGGAAAATGCTGGCCTATAATAATATGTACTTTTTCTTGTTTGGAATGGCCCAGGATCCTATAATATATACATATATATATATATTATGTGTATTTTGGATGTCTAGATAAACCGTAATAAAGATAATATATTTTATTAACATTGCATTTGGAACTAAAAATGCTTTTTAATCTTATTTATCTCTCTTACAGTCTACTCCATATGGGTTCCTTGTAGAGTTTATTTGATATATAATTTACAGGAACAATAAATGGTAGAATTCATTGTATAGAAAATGTATCCTGAAAGGGGTCCTAGCCATTCCCTACTCTACCCAAAAGAAAAAAATAGGTTTGGCTAGCTTATTGCTTTGTAGTATATTGATACTGTGAATGAAGAAGCTTTCAATGACCATTGCTAAGTGTCTGACATCGAAATCCAAATATTCAGACCGCAAAATTCTCTTTACTTAATAACAAATCACGGCAATCTCTGTAATATTTGAATATTTCAAAGCACCAACACTCAAAAATATATATTTTCATAATGTGACTATTGTAGAAACATTTTTTTTAAGGAATTGTACTTTTTTAGTGAAGAAATATTTTGAGTTATTATTAAAGTGTTTACCTTAACACAAACCTGTGGTTATACTAAACATACAGTATAAAACAAGCACCTACTTTGAAAAGCACCTGGTGCCTGAACGTTGGGTCAGAGTTTCTCTACAGCCCAGAAAATGCTTTGAAATGCTGACAGCTTTTGTGGTCTTGGATCACATATGGATTCTCCTTTATAAAATGAATTCTCTTACATACTCTCTATGGAACAGTTAACACTAGGTTTGGCTCTTTAGTTTATCTCTTACTACAATATATAGAAAATATTTGGAGAATGCACTCCCCAAAGAGGGTAAACAATGTTCAGCTCTGAATAATGCCATGGGACACCTACTCTAACCAAAACTTTAAAAAAAGACAGAATATGAATGGACAGTTTCACAGTTTCCCTTGACTTTTCATACATAAGATCCAAACCCGACCCAGGGCAATTCTATTTAGGCAAAACTTCAAATTATAAATGCTTAGATTATACATATTCTATTCAGTTGGATCCTGCAACTCTATGTCATGTCCATGACAGAAAATAAAAATAGTCTTCTCTCCCTTTGTTCAGACAGTAGTGATGGCAGAAGAAGACGTGTACAGTAATGCACTAGCTTACTGCAAAATGTTATTAACTTTTTAGAATACCTTTAACCATAACTTTCGCTACTACAATACTGTAACAGGTACTACTAAATTAAAACGGTGCATCAAAGAAGGCCAAGCTAAACTGGCTAAGAATTCAGGCATTTAGATAAATTCTAGTGGCTAACATCTAGTATATTCAAGGTAAGAGGTGGTGATGATCACACATTGTTCTGCTTTCTCATCCTACATAAGGCCATCTTCGCCTCTGTCCGCAGTCACAACATCTAATAGAACAACGGCCACTGCCTCTCTCCCCGCTGGCTCCCACCCCACCGTGATCTTCAGGGCCCCCCGCTCTTCTGGGGGACCACGGCAAATTAGATCAGGTTGGAGAGTTGAGCTCCGTGTCAGTACTGTGCTAAAACTCCTGTATTTATAGGTGACAGGTTCAATAAAGAGAACCTCTCACCTCCAAATGCTATCACACATGGTCTTGTTAGCTCCTGTGTGCTAGCAATTAAATTAGGTGACAAAAAAGTAAAAAATAATAAAATCAATTAAAATTAAAAATGAAAATAAATAAAAATGGAAAAAATAAAAAGGCGATAAAGTAAAAAATAATAAAATAAATTAAAAATAAAAATATATTTTTTTAAAAAGTAAAATAGAAATAAAGTAAATAAAAATGTAAAACATTAAAACCAAACCAACCCCCGCTGCCCCCACCATCTGCATGCGAATAAACGCATGCATAGGGCATTGTGTGTGTGAGCGGCGTGGTGCCATATTGTGGTGGCCGGGCAGTAATGCTCTCTAACACGCACAATGTGCATTAAGGCCAGGTTCACACCTGGGTGATCGCTGACCGCGCGGCAATCATGTATGAAACCGCGCGGGTGGCCAGGCAGTCGTAAATTGCACACCACTGCCTATTTTCTAATGGCACCCCAGTCGTGCCAGGCAGGTTGCGCCGTTTCCCACTGCAATACCGCCCATGCAATCACGCACAAACGTGGGTGTCACGAAAAAAGGTACATGTACCTTTTTTCAGCAATTGCCAGGCGGATGTAACCCCATTGAAACCAATGGGGCAGCGTGGCAACCGCTGTATGCAACCGCACACAATCGCGCAGTCTTGGGACACGCATGCCGGGCTCGACCAAGACTTCACCAGCCCTAAAGGGTACATTCCCTTTCCCAAGTAATTTGGGAAAATGGAATTACCCGCACAAATCTGACCCCCTCTCCCTCCCTGCTATACTTACCTTTTGGCGAACAGTCCTTTCCCTGAATTTCGCTCGCAAACTGCAAGCACTCGTTTGAAAGCACTGCTAAATACAGTTTTGAATCAAATACATTTTTTTGTATCAGGAGAAGTAGATTGTCATGAGGGACAAGTAAATCGGGCTCCTGCTTTAGTCCTTGGACAAGTAGTTAAAAAGAATTCCACACCCCTGAATCATATGTAATGGTGCCTGATGGGAGGTTTGGGTCATATAACAGTAAGGGATGCAGGTGGAATAACAGGAAAGGCAAACTGATTGCACATTTGACAGTCTATAAGGAGTCCATCACAAACTTCACAGGTTGTGAAGAGCTAGATGCCCAGAGGGATAACTGAACCATCATTCTTGGTACTCCCTTCCATTACTATATGAGGGTGCACTGCTTTACAGGAAGAAAGGGATCAACCTTGTCAGAAGGGGAATAATGAGCTGCTCTTTTTGGAAGCTCCTCCTAGACCCAAGAGCTTCTTGTGAATACCTCAAAAAAAATGTCATGATGTATGAATTTTCTGCTTACCATTTAAATGTTTAATGTCAGAGGCAAGGTTTAGCACGTAGATTTTAAAACTTGATATTCAGGAGGTACCGAAAATATTCTGCATCTTGTTGATTAATAGTAATTCTTTAGGCACCACTGACTACCCACTGACTAACTGTATGCAACATGGAATAAAGTAGAAGTAAAGTCCTCTATCCAAAACAAAATAGTATTGGCTTGTGGGATTGGTTTTCAAAGTTTACATGACATAAAATGTTTGTTCCATAGTAATCTGAAAGTATGTAATTACTGTATTTAGTCATCACCTTTTACAATTTTACTTACATTGGAGAGTGGCGTAATCCAAAAGAAACGCCAAACGACTGGCTGCTTCTGATATCTCATCCTTTAATTTATAAACCGTAACATCACTCGATGTCCTAAGGAAATCCATCAATGCAACTAAGTCTGCCGTAGTAGCAGGAACCTCACGGACTCTGTCTGCTATTTTGCTGTACTTGGAACAAATGCTGCAGAGGGAAATAAATAACCAAAGTGAAAGCTTTTCCAATAAGTTATAGTGAGTCTGATACAAGAAACGTTAGTTTTCTTTGTCTGTGTGTGTATATATATACCCATTTATATTGCACTATATATATATATATTGTGAGATTTAGCTTCCAATGGTAGCGCATTAAGGACGCATCCACTCGCTGAAATCTTCATTCAAGGGCTTCCTTGCCCACTTTTATTAAATGAAAGTTCACAAAAACTATATATAAATATAAACAATCACACATTTTTTTTCCTTTTACAAGGCCCAATTACATACAAAATAGATGAGGTTGCTTGAAGGAAATGGCAAAGTAATACATCCTAGATAAGCCATAACAAAATACAAAGTCAACAAAAACTTCTGCAATCAGGTACGTACACCAATATGTGTGAGTAAACAGGTGTATTTTAAGCTGAATACTATACGCCTGTATTTTTATCCATCTGCATGAGGTCTAAGGGGCAAATATGTGTTATACTACCCTGTCACCTTAAAGTGTAGTGAATTTGTATGCATAAGTTGAGAATTCAGCCCCAAGCAAACACCCTTTGCATCTAAGGTGTCTAAGATGCAGCCCAGTGGCACTTCACAGAGAATGCCTGAACTTCACAGACAAAAACAGTGCCTGGCCCAATGCATGTAAGCTAATTGGGGAGCGATATTTAATTTCAGGACAAGTTAAACTTTCACTTTACATGGCCTATTCAGGGGATGGCATATAGGGCACATTTCCTAGGTGCCACTTCAAAAGGGGAATGCAGCTCCGTGTGTCTGCAAATTTTCGCCTTAGCCAGGATCACTGAGCCCGAGCACCACTACAGAAATCTGTGAGCCACTTAACTAATCACTGATGCACTGCACTTAGTTCCCACCCACAGGAGCAGCATTGTAATTCAGCCATGCTCCCTTCAACTTGCACAGCCCGGAAGGTATATTATCAGTATAAGATATGATAGGTGATAGGTGCCTTAATCGCACAGTACCAGTAATTAACGCACCACATTGGTGTGAACCCTTAAGGTGTTGATGTCCCCTGCCAGGTTCATTCTATCCACTGCCTCGTGAACATCATTTTGGATTATTTAATTAGAGTAATGCAATAGGCATGATGTTCTGTAAAAGGACCTGTGGGGGCTGACTACTTGTTTTAAAGTATATCTATGGTCAGCCAACCACAAGCAGCCAAGGAGTTGAATGATAACAGTGGAGTGAGGCCAGCAAGGCCTCTGATAGGGGGGTACAGCCAGCCCTTCTGTACTGGGCTCAGACCCCCTACTGTATATTGCAGCAGAGCATACAGTTGCGCTGAGAAAGATAGTCCCTTCTGGGCAGCTGTCCTCCTCTCAGTGAGCAGGGCGACCCCACTGTGCCACTGGCTCTTGACCCCTCCTGCTGCCACTTGGATCACAGCAGCAATATGGCTGGACCTCGGTAACAAGAGAGCTGGCACCAATCAGTGAGGCCCCACTCAGCCAACGTCTGCATGGAAGCAGTGACTGGAGGGTCTGGTAGGCAAAGAGCAACATGTACTGCAGAGCAGGACCCTGTTGAGTGGGGGAGAGTGAATGGGAAGGGGGGGGGGCTGATGCCAGGGGGGAAGCAGGCTGTGCAAGGGTGCTGGCTGTACAGCAGCTCTTCTGTGCTGAACTGGCAATTGTATAAAGGGATCAGCAGGTTTCTGATGCCTACATTGCAGATGTGTGTGTGTATACTTCTGACATGTGCACTGTGAGATACATACTACTGACCCCTGCTCTCTGTCTTACATACCACTAACCTATGCATTCTTTGTTACATACTACTGACCTCTGATCTTTGCATTACGTACTACTGACCTCTAATCTCTGTGTTACATCCTAAAACACTTGTACTATGTGCATGACATACTTCTATTTCTCTGTATGTATGCTCAAGTTTTAAGCCCCTCTCAGTGTTTTATTACAGCTACAGTACCTTCCTTTGTGGCACACTGTGCATGTCACCTCATTTATCTGCTTTGGGCGACGAAGGGGGTGGGGAAGGGTCCCTGCCAGTTAGGCTGTACTGGGCCCCATAATTTCTAATTGAAGTGCTGCTTCCCAGCATTCAGCTCTGCATATATGCCTGCTGTCCGCTTGCCTTAGTCAGTCAAGCTACTGGGAAAACTCTACACTATCATATATGGGGGAACTCTGTGGAGTCTGATGTAAGGGGTGACTTTAGGCACTGAGTTCCTACAGTCCCCAGGGTCCCCCCTTACATCAGAGTTCCCCCTTACATATGAGCCACAGGACTCTGATGTGAAGATATAAAGGGGGTTTCTGGGGACGCTGATATAAGTGTGGACTCTGATGTAAGGGGAGACTCTGATGCGAGTTACACTTTTGCATTTTTAAGTTGACATGGTAACGTTATCTAAAATATGGGTATAACAATCCTGTATAGAGTTATGCTGGCCCACAACATTTTCAAGTTCTCCTGTTACCTTCACTGTTTAAAATAGAAGCAGCAGGAGCAGCAGTTTCTAATAATTTAAAAAATACATAATTGTAGGATGAGGGGCTTCTTAAAAAAATAAACTTACATACTGCTACAGTCCACGGAAATGGGTTTTTGACTGCAGGATTGTTGGGAAAATAATAAGGTAGATTTGTATAGATGTGGCAGGGTGTTAAGGTCTATGGTTTGGCTGGGCATATAGAGTGATGGGTGAGAGGTGAAAATCTATACAGTAAATTTGTGCAGGGATCTAAAATTAGCATAGCTAAAAAATAAAAGCAGTCTGTGCCTTTAGAAAATCTCAATGTAGGAGATAATAACAATTTAGAAGACCAGGTCCAATTACCAATGCACCCAAGAAAGTGATTCGAGCAAAATGCAATGCAGTGAATCAAACAAATGCATTACTCTCTACAGTCCTAATTTTAATTTTTTTAAATGCTGGAAGGTATGCACAATCAGTTCGGCGTGGACAAGGAAAACTGCACCTCCTGGTCTAATTTCTGTATTTAAATACTGATTCCATTTTATCTCTTTTTAAAGCATTGCCTCAAAAAAATATATATTAAATATTAAAATATTGATGTAAAAATTTTAATTACATCTATTAATAAATTTACTAAGGGGCCTGGATAAAACATTTCAAAAATCGCTCTCTGTTTGACAACCTCTCCTACAGATGTACTTTTCCAAACTGTTTTTAACTGAATTTAATAGTATATTTATCAAAGGGCATGTCACAACAACATACAATTGATTAAAAATAATGCAGAGCTGTCATGTTAGATCAAATAAAGATAGAAAGCCACTGACAAGATTAAATAGACAAATTACCATAGTACATGGAACACAGTTAATGAAGGGAAAACACTGTAAATACCTTTTGAAAAGTAACATATTTCAGTAATAAAACAGGGCCCTATGAGTATATATGCATGTCTAAAGTGTTTTCCTATTATAATTCTTCATTAATCTACAAGACTAAATTAGTCTTGGACATAAACATTTCAAAAGAGATATTGGGGGGAATTTATCAAAACTGGAGCAGACAGAATCTTAAGCAGTTGTCCATGGCAACCAATCAGCTTTTCTCTTTCATTTTCAAAGCTTAACTGAACAAACTGAAAATAGAAGCTGACTGGTTACTATCGGCAACTACTCCAGAGTCCGTCTGCTACAGTTTTGATCAATTCCCCCCAAGTGCATTTTTACGCTAGACACATTTTACCTTGCCTTTTCAGAAAAAGGAGGATTTTAGCATTTGTTAGGCAAACAATGTTCAATGTCACAGGGGCTGAGATTATTTGAGAGTACAGGGGAAAAAAAGCAGAGTCTAAACACCGGTAGTTAAGTGTTCGTGTGAAGTGCATATTAGGGGAGGTGAAGCCAAACCATGTGGGAAAATTGCTAATGTATGTACAGTATCAGTTTTTTCTCTGTACAATTATTGAGTGTGAATATATAATGTTACTAGTGCATCAAAACAGATTCTTGCGGTCTTTAATCAATACCTATAAAACAATAAACAAACGCTGCTTTTGCCTAGGAGAGCTAAACTTTGTACCCCTTAAAACTGGTTGCAGATCATAGTCTTGCTAAATCGAAGAAGAAAATAGATAAAGATAAAAGCAATATGCACAGAGCTGATGCATGCTCCAGAAAGCTCTATTAAAATCAGCATATCAAAGCAGTCATCCACAAGGTGCCTTGAAGTATTTCAAGCAACAAGTACTTATAAGACCTTACACTTACGTTTTTGTATGGAACACATCAATAAACCCTGAATGACTGCTTCAATATGCTGATATAAATAAAACTGGACCAGGCTGTACACAGATTCTTTCTTTTTTTCTTAAAGTCCAATTGAACGTTCAGTTTAAATTTGTTAAGTACATTCTAGGTGCATCAAAACAGATAGGGAGGGATTTATCAAAACTGGAGCAGACAAAATCTGGAGCAGTTGCCCGTGGCAGTCAATCAGCTTCTATCTTGTTTGTTCAGTTAAGCTTTGAAATGCACAGCTGCTCCAGATTCTGTCAGCTCCAGTTTTGATAAATTCACCTCACAGGGTGCAGAGTCTTACAGCAGGAGGACAATTAGACTCTGCAAAGAGACCACTGCTTCCATACAGAGAGCAAGGGTACCATGCTGGCAGGGTACAGGCTTTTCTACTGTGGCTGCTTTCGAAAGAAAACAAACTGTAAGACTTTGCACATTTTTTGTTTTGTTTAACCTGGAATTTATTTAGCTGATTTGAACTGAAAATTCAATTTGGCTTTAACAGGGACCAGCATTTTTGAAAGTTTAGATGTGCAGACCAAGTGTAGCAGCGTTGGTATGTGTCAGTTAACTTTACAATAATTCTTTGACTAATTTTTCTGACTGACAGGGGGTCTGAGAACTAAGAACACACACAGTTGTACATTCCTACATTTCTGCTGCAAGGTTAATTAACCCTCCAATGGTAAGGGATACTTAAGATTCAGACTTAGAAAGTCATCAACGGTCACAAAGCAGTTGATCAATCAATATCTATACATGTTCAGATATTATTCCTATTATTTATTTGAGGTCATATATTTAGTTAATAGTTAGATGATCAGCTTGGGAAATTTTTTTAAAGGCTGCAGGGCTAGAAAGTAAAAAATGATTTACCATGAAGAAAATAATCTAATTAAGGTGATATAATAAAAACAAATTAGAAAATGAAGTGTTGCCCACAGCAGATAATTCAGCTCCAACTATTATTTTTAATTTTTTTAAATATACATATTTGTTAAATGTCTTTAAATGCAATACAAATTTGTAAACCAAATCTAAACCTGCTATTAGGATAAAGTTACCAAACTGCAATGAGTGAATTCTGACATGCACTAGCATAATCTAAAAGGTTCTGGCTCCTCGAAAGCCATGCTTGTGTCTATCAAACAAACAAGGTCACACTTGGGGTTCTACTAATGAATGTTTTTACACAACTTTCCTCCAGGATTCACGCATTGTTCCAAATAAGTCCAATTAGGAAATGTATGAATATTGTATGAAAACATTTATAAATAGATCCTGTGATGTATTGATTAAATCATAGGGTATCAGTTCCTAAAGGCTGCAGTGATTCCAAAGGAAAATATATAATTATTGAATTCTGAATTTTTCAAACCAGAAAATTACAGCTTGCAAATTGTTTATCAAAATTACCTAGCATGGCGCTGAAATACCTTTAAAAATAAAAGTTAAAATCTGATTGGCTGTCATGGAGGACACCTCTAGTTTACTCTACTCTAGTTTAAAACAATGATGTTATCATGTCAATGTCAACTTATCAATGCATGACAAGTTGACTGAAATTACGGATTCTTGCTTCACATAAACACTTGTTTTGTTGTTAGCAGTCTACTAATTCTGATATTCATGAACCGGTGCAAACAAAAGTACTTGCCTCATATTTAACTCCCTATTTTCATCTACTTCATGCTGGATGAGCTGATCCTTTAACTTTTGAGCTCTGGCACAAAGTTCCTCATTAAATCGTAAAGTATCCAGACAAAACATGGCAAGAGGAACGGTGATTTGCATGGATGCGATTTCTCCCTGAAGCTCTGATAAGCTATTGATTTTCTGTGAGACAGAAGAAAATAGACTTGATATTACAGAAGGTCAAAAATAGAAAACTATTTAAACCATTTAAAATTACTATGAAATCTAAAGATACTATATTTGGCTCAGAACATTAAGATAGAAAGTTATATATGGATGTTTAAAAAATGAATGCACTCATATGATAGACAGGTAGTTAGGGGCAAATACATTATTAATTTTAGCTAAGTGCAAATACTGTATCTATAGCTCTGGGTTCTCAGGTTAAGTACTATAATTAAGAGAAATATACTGAAGAACAAGAACTACATCCTGTTCTACACAGTATAACATAATACTGGCCATATTATTAGCTTTAACAGACTCGTATATAAAAAGTAGACCATCATTTATATTTATATTTTGCAAATATAAAATGTATCACAGCTATATCCCATCCTATACTGGAGTTATTAGGCCTCCTTGTATGTTGGCATTATTAGGTCTCCTCCTCGTATACATCACATTTCAATGTACCATTGAAGCAAAACACCAGAATACATCCTACTTTCCTCTATTAACAGATCGTTCAGCATTCACTCTGAGCATTTGCATACACTGCCTAGCAGCAATGAGCAATGTGCAGGGAGCTGAAACCAATCTTAACTAAGTGAAATTTAATAGGTTACTGTTCAGTTTCAGAAGAAGATTTGTAATGGCAATCCCCATATTTCTTTAGTGACAGGTTTCCTTTAAAGCTGTACTCCAGGTATATATTTTTATGGATACTTACATTGGTCCAGCTTGGCCCAATGTAAGTATGCATATGTTATACCTGAGCAGCCCATGGGGATCCTGTAAAGAAATGCAGTAGCTGGAACTACTACAGTACTTTACAGGGATCTACTGGATCCTGGTGCTGCGCTGTGCTAAGCGGCTTCCCCTCTGCTCTGAAAACAAAGGGGGTCCCTTGCTTGACATAGGGGTCATTCAGAGAACACCTTTTTTTTCTGTTAATGAACACAAGGCAATATCTCATTAGATGAGGGGCAGGTTGTGATGTCACTGTCCATTGTCCAATCAGAGAACTCCTTGTATCCAGTAATACAAATACTAGACATTCTCTGAATGACCGCTGTGCCAAGCAAGTGATCCCTTGTGTTTACAGAGCAGAGGGAAACCACACAGCATCACGCAGTACCAAGACCCGGGAGACTGATGTAAAGCACTGTAGTAGCACCGGGTACTACAGTATTTTACAGGATCCCCATGGGAGGCTCAGGTATAACATATAAATGCTTTTATTGGTCCAAGTTGGACCAATGTAAGTATGCATAAAAAGTTATCACTGGAGTTCAGCTTTAAGTGAAGGGAGTCTAGAGAAAGTAATATATTGGTAGGAGAGTTATCTGCCCATGTACATCGCTGGCTTATTAACTTTCCCTTTCCAAAGAGCTTGACTTTTTGATTGTCATATGCATACAATTTTAAAAAAATGAAGCTTTTAATGAAACTTTTCACCAACACTTTATATAAGTGCAACAAAATGACACATAGACACATTTCTCAGGCATTGTAAAGTAGGGAATGTAGATTTCTTTTAAAAAAATTTGCATGATTAAATTTAAGACACTCGAAGGCAATTTATTATTTATTTTCCACTTGAAGGAAAGTGAATGTAGCTGTCTATATTTGATTGCATTGAAATTACTCTCACTCACATACATAAGCAATTTTAATGCATCAGTATTGTTGTGTATGAATAACTGGATTGCAGCACATATTACCAACCGAAGAAAATAATTATTGCTGGTGGCAACATTTCACTAAACGAAAAGCCAAAAGAAGGCAGGTCAAAAATGTGTCTGAAGTCCAACAATATCCAATTAATAGATCTTTACAGATCCATAAGGAGGAGATAACATTGCCTTGATCCAGCTGTTTTAAATATCAGGTCTATCGGTGTCTCCTTAGCCAGTCAGCTACCTTCTGCTGAATGAGCAGTCAATGGGACAGGTTAAAATAGTTGTCCCAATCACTAGTTTTTCCCCACTCTTAAGAAGGCACTAACTTCCACTACCCTCCAAATACAGTAGATTAACTTCAAACTCTGCAAACCAAGGCCAATGGCCTAAAATGGCTGTATTTTGCTTCTTTTGCCTAAAGTTAGGTTGGATTACATATGTACAACCACAGTTAGCTGCTTTTTTTCTTTTTTCCATATCACAGTTGTACATCTTTATAAAAAGCTTCTTTGTGGGTTGAGATGGACAAAAGTCCAATTTGTACTTCACCTACTGATGTTTATGTATTCTAGTGATATTCAGTACATTTACACTACATTCACTACAAGTAGAGAAATGTAAATGTTGCAAAAAATGTTCACAGGATCAGTACCCCAGTGGCATACCAAATTGCTATACTGCACAAACCTTTCATTCTCTAAAAGAGTCTGGAGATATTTTTTAGTTCACCTTTTTTTTCTCAACTTTCTCTCAGAAATGTATTCTCAGCATTGAAAAGCTATGTCACTATGATTTTTTTTCATCTTTGCTTATAAAGCTGTGTAAAGGTGTCACTGAATTCTACCATTAAACCTGCAAAGCAAGCTGTTTCAAACCTGATTCAGTTCACAACATCTTCATTAATACACTCCTAAGCCCTTCAAAAACTTTTTTTTAAATTTGCATATAGTGTGGAGATATTAGAACCCCTGTTTTGTTCTAATTTCTATCTGAGGCTCCATTAGAAGGATTTTCCCCTGCCCTTTCCCCTGCAACTACTGCACAAGGCAGGAAGTGAGGGATAATAAAAGTGCAAGGACAATAAAAAAAAACAGCAATACAAATCTGAATTGAGTTCTAGCTTTCTCCTACACTACTTAAAAAAAGCTTTTTTTTATTTCTGTGTGTTACTGCTTTAGATTCTCCCTAACTTCTTGTCTGTGAAAACTGTTGTCACTAGGACAAAAAAGTTGTAAAATATAATATATGACATCACTACTAGAAAAGTACTTGAAATCCATTTTAAATGCAGATAAACATGCATTTTACTGAAGGAATGCCCAGAGTCAATAAACTAGGTTGTCTGAGTCTGCACAGTCCAACAGCAAGGACTCCTTACAAAAATATGCAAGCCCTTTGAGCAAATATTAAAGTCGCCAAATGGCTAGCCAGGCTCTTAGTAGCAGGGCTGGGATCTGATCTGATTATTTATGATGTGTAGTGACAAGGGTAGAAATAGGTACGGCGGTAGATATTTTTTTTCTAGGGGTAGTGGAGAAGAAAAATGTGGCATGGTCAATAATGTGGGTGTTGCTTCACAGTTTATGGCTCACCTTTCCTTTCTTGATTTGCTATGCAAAATAGGGTCTGGGTGTACACTGAAGAGTTTGTGGGAGTAAAATAAACCCCACTGGTGACGTCAGTGGTAGCAATAACAATAATCAGCATTGGTATCAGTAGCAGAAACAATAATCCCTAGCACTGGTGTCAGTGCCAGCAGATAACCCCCAGAAAATGTCAAGGCCCCCTCTTAAAGCATCAGTTCACACAGCACCAATCCCTCCTTCCTCCTACCCCTAGCACCACCAACAAATTTTCCTCTTACCCCTTTCCCCCCTGACCTAAAACAAACGCAACTCTCCTCCAACACAACCCCCCACCCTTAAGGGTACAGATCTCGCTCAATCAGAAATGCCAACTATTCAGCTTACACTCTCATGTAGGCTGCTCAGACGCCAGATACTGAGCGGCTCCATGTGCACAGTGAGGGTAAGTCCCAGGGTTACCTCGGCTGTGTCATGTGACAGCTAAGGAAGAGGCGAGGGCCTTCATCCACTCTAAGCCATGCTGCATTTGTTGTTTGAATATTCTGTGAGAACCAGCAGAATTATAGGGACTCCTGTGTGCTAATGCAGAGTGTGCAACCCTGACCCGGGGGCATGTTCCTCTCAGACTAGCAACACTCATGGAAGATGCTTTTGGGGGGTTGGACCCCCATTTTACCCCTTAACTGCACCCCAGCAAATAGGCCATATAACTTGCGAAGCAGTATTGGCGCCTATTGAACATGTAATGTATGTTCTTAATTAATATTATAAAACTCGTAAACAAGAATTTAGTTATTTAAATGTATGCCTGAATGAAATGACACCTTCAGTAAGCAAGTTGTGTTAAGAGGTTGCACCAATTATTACTAATAAAACATCCTTTTTCCCAGATACAGAGTATAGCTAGTCTTTAACAAGGCTCATTCGCTATAGAATGCCTTATCTCATTACCTTAGTAAAGGCCTGCAGAGAATGCTCTTCCTTAAGAAACGCGATAACATCCTGCTGAGCTTTCTGATTTAAAAGGTCACTGTATTTTTTATAAACATTTAAGTACCTACAATAGAAGGACACAGAGCTTTAGAAATGGTAGTGTACTAAAGATAATTAGTTTTCCTTCAAATTTCAATGCTGTAGTGAAGAAATATATAACATAATTAAAATGAGTGCCTTGTGACTTAACAGGAGTTTAGCTATATAGAAAAGTACATGGAGAGAAAAATGGAAATAAAAGCATAAGAGAATAAGAGATTGAGAAATGTGTTGTCCCATAATAGCTTTCAGAAATATTACTTTCAATGCAGAAAAAAAATTCTTTGTAATAGGAGAAGTTTAATGAACTTTCCATTATTGCTTGTGCTTAAAAAAAGGTATGGTTTGAATGGAACACATCCACAGGGAATACTTCACAGGTTGCAATATGATAATGTACCAATTCAGTGTTAACATCTAATTTCTGCTACAAAAAAAGAACAATTTAATGGTCATTGTAACACATAGCTAACTGAAATTTCATATCCAACGTCTCGTCTTAGTTTTTATTTGACGCAATAAATGACAGGGTGCATAGAGATGTGCCAGATCCAGGTGGCGCTTCATGGGCTGAAGTCAAATCTATATGTACAACAGGGGTCTGGGATCCAAAATGATTTTCCATGGACACATAGGTGTATTTGAAATTTAACATAGGTACTTGCAGACACCAAAAGGGCTGTATTTTAGCGCTTTTGCTACCTCAGAAACATTGTAGGCCTGGTCAGCATCACTTTAATTCAAATTAGTTATGTCTGACCAGGGTAGATGGCAGGTTTCAACATAGAATAAAAATAAATAGTTAATGTTAAAATATACGGTTAGTTTTTTTTTTAAATTAATTTTTTTTAACAAAATTACTTTTGGGGACCAATTGTGTTCATATTGAAAATTTTTCGTGTGTTGTTGACATAGTCGGAGACCAGAGATTCTTCTTGTCTTACAGAACTGAGGATAAGATTGTCCAACTGCAGGTCTGGAAATAGTTCCACTTCTACCTAGAAGTAAAGATCAGAGCAGACTAAGTAAATGACAGCTGTCCCTCTTGAGATGTACTAGGAAAATTCAATCAGCTTTCTACTATGAAAAGCTATAATATATTGTTATGGTATTCAGCAATGCATTTTTTTAGATTTATTTAATTTTTACATATACCCAAGGCGGGAGGCTTTTAGTATTTGAAATTCAATCAATACAGAAATTGCAGAACTATCACTTTGTAATCCATATACTCAGAAATGTAACTAGAAGTGCCCGTACAGCACCCCCTCGGTTCTCCTGAACCGAAGGGGTCCTGGGGCCGAAGCTAGCCGAAGGATCGGCCGAAGCTACGGCCAGATCCTTCGGCAGCTTTGTGAATAGACCCCAATGTCTGCTTATTGGGTGAAGGTACACCATCATCAACTTTGATAAACCTACAAACAGCAGTTAAAACAAAAGTAAATAAATAACCTTACAATCAGTTGCCCCCTCTACATTGTTTATCATAAGCACCACTAAAAGGTAATTACTGAAAATTCAATGGCTACTTAAACCAACTTTATTTTTAACAACTATAATTTATGTAAACTTTCATTATTCATATAACTCTTCATTATTTAATGTTGAAAAGTGTCCTTCACAAAACTATGCCTGTGTTCTTAATTTCAATTTACTTACATTTTAGCTGTCAGCAGTAGTGATGCGCTCGGGCGTGTTCGCAAACGCCTCGTGCCAAGCCCGCCGGGAAGCTGTCAGCGCTAAGGGCCAATCACTGGCACTGAGAGATTTCCCGATCTCTGCAGCTGTGGACCGGGAACATGTCTCAGTGCCTGTGATTGGCCCTGCTCGCTGACGGCTTCCTGGTGGGCTTGGCATGAGGAGCTTGCGAACACACCCGAGCCTATCACTAGTCAGCAGGAACAGATTTCTACTTTTCTACTGTGTACTCTGTTGTACCCCTTTGCCCTGAGAGTCATAATAATGGGCATGGTATATTTCACTGGTCAGAAAAAAAAACATTTAAAGATCTTTTTTTCTTTCAATGTTTATAAATAACTGTATAAAAACATAAATAAAAATAAAGAGCAGTGCTGATAAAACTGTTGTCAAATCACACAATAAAAATTGTTGCTTCTGCTGAGAATATCCTTGAAAAATGTATTTTGTGCAAACAAGAAAAACAAGATTAAAAAAACTCAAGAATGAGATTCAATAGAAACAGGAAATAAAGGTGGTAGATGTCAGGTATGCGATACTGAAATTGTTTAAAAACTCTCAAAAGATTGCCTAACAGAAAGATCCTAACCTTTATCACAACAGAATAATGACACAATGATGAAGAATGTCAAGAGATATAAAGAGTTCTGTGAAGAAATGCATTTAGTAGTGTGCTTATATCACATATAAAAATGTAAAAGCTACTCCAGCTAGTACCTTCACATAATTTAAACATTTTGGTGAGGTACTTTTTCTTTCATATGTGAAAGCCCAACTCCCCCTTTGACACAAAAATCACAATTCACTGGTGCAATAGTGGATAAGAGAAAAAACTTTTGCTGCAATACTATACCCTGTAGGACGCTGCCTTGTCACTGCTTTTGTGTTCCAGTGGCTCTGTCATTCTGTGCTTTCCTTTTTCCACAATGCTATTTAGTCAATGGTATGTATACTTACATTTTCATGTGACCGTATATATCCGGCTAAAATATTGTCTGGAGAGTAATGCATACCAAAGTACTGAATCACTTAGAGGCCAAAAATGTTTCCAGAAGACCTCAGCTTAGTTTTACAACAGCAGGAGGCCACGTTTTTAAATCACACAAAAACAGCTAAGAACTACATCTATAAAGCCCAGGAAACTACCTCCTTTGGGTTACGCTATACATCCACAGCAGATATACAGATGAACATCCTTCACTGTAAAAATTCCAGTGTTTAACACTGCATAAAACTGAAAGGGGCAGGTCACTTAGGATAGCTAAACAAATAGGGACTAAGCATTTATAGTATAAATCATTTTAAAGATGTATAGTACAGAGTACTGAGCACACATTCTCAATGGATATATTTATGGACCCTGAGGGCTAACTGTGTGCTAAGTAAGTTTATTAAATCTGGTATTCTATAAACTAGCATATAAATGCCATATCAGTCTTGCGTGCTTGCTGCCAAGTGAAGTCACATACTGAAAACCGTGCCACCCATATTTAGTCCAAAAAGTTGGTAACAACAACAGTCAGATATAAATTCCGTGTTTGTGTTTCAGCAGCCATGCCTAATCTAGCCTAAGACACGATTGTCAAAACACAGGCCGAATAAGAATGCAGGGATGTCATGGATCCCCACTACCAAGGATTTCCAAAGACTCGTAATGAGGGCCCTGCCATAAATGGGCCCGTCATAAAAAGTCTAAGAGTAGTTGATCAATACACATGAAGAAAATATAGCAGATTCCTCCATTCATGCTAAACAGCATAATTAAAGGAATCTCTTGCTGTGTCCTTTGTATTTTGACAGCGGCAGCTGTGCCACTGTTAGAAAACATGAACAGTGATGGTTAGGCCAAAAGAAATCTCACCGCTCCAATTCCTTAGCCACCATCAGGACTCCCCAGGTGCTGGTCCAATAGGTGCGTCTCCACCTTGAGGTTGTAGTTGGTTGGGGGTGTGCAGTGCTGGCATTTGTAGCTTTATACACTTTTTCACTGATATACTGGATTTGCTGTGAATTTTAATAAAGTCTGCAGTATTGGAATTCTCTGGATAGTGCGGTCTGTTCGTATAGTGATGGTTAGGGTTTGCGTTCACATGTCTGTGTACATGGGAGCAGGGAGCCAACATTTTTTTTATTTAATTACATTTTTTTAACTTTATTGGTATCACATAGGGGTCCTTTTTAAGGAGACAGTAAGGGTCTATTAGACCCCTAATGACACCTCTGTACTTTAAGGAAGCTGATTAAGCACACATCGTGCTTGATTAACTTTATCCTAGGCCACAGTGGCCAGGAAATGACAGCTTGGATACTAAGCTGTCATTTCCTCATCTCTTCCAGCTTCATTCAGCAGAGGGGAGGTCAGCAAATAAATTTTTGCTGATCTGCCTCCATTCTAGCTGGCAGCACCTGCCATGGCCACCCTGGGCCTGCAGGAGGAGCAGTGGAGCTCGGGATACATGGTGGGGGGGTGTCAGGTGGGGTGGGATTTGCTTACACAACCATATGCCAAAGGGTTAAAGCTTAAATTATCCACCCAGTTATTAAATCTCTAAGACTCTATTGATGAAAATTGACCCGATTCCTCCATCAACACAAACAGCATGTCGATCGAGGAATCCCGCTGTTTACATTGTAAGTGCCGCCAGCACTTGTCACAATACCCAATCAGAGCGGGCAGCTCATTGGCTCTGGTCGATCGAACAATTTCCAGCCGGCTCCTTTGATCAGCTGATCGAGGAATGCCGGCTGAAAGGGAGCCGACAGTCAAACACATTGTGCGAATTTGGTCCGGTACATTAAAAACCCAATGAAATGTCACCAGTGTATGGGCACCTTTACGCATACCTCCCAACTTTCTGAGATGAGAAGAGCAACACCTTCCAGGGAAGTGTTTGTAGGCAATGGGCCCACTCCTGCCATTTGCCCAGTTATGGGGACAACTAAAAATTTATGACAAAAAAAATTGGTTAAACGCATAATTGTCTTTTTTTTATCATTACTTGCCCTTATACTGGCTTTAGCCTATGTACGAAAACAACAATTGCTTCACACATGTTGTGTATCGCTGTGCACACCAGAGTGACAGCAATACTTTTAGGGCCATAATTCACTGTTAACTCTAAACTAATGACCTGTAAAGGCTTTCAAAGGATCGCCCATGGAATTTTTGGGGGGTATTTTGGTATTTGTTTACTCAGCGAAACCTCATCTTGTTATGTTGTACCCCAAAAAATTGGTTACTTCATTGTGTTTATGTGTACTAAAATCACTTTAAAGGCAACTGCCACCATTATATACTACAGGGCCTTTGCTGTCAGAAAATATATAATTCTGGGTGGTTTTCAGTAATCTTCAGGCATAAACTGTGCATTTTAATGTGTGGTGAAACATATGCAAAAATGGCCCTGGCAGCGAAAGAGATAAAAACAGCTGACCCTATATGTACTGTACAGGACACCGCGGCTGGGTCCTGGAAGGACGCTATATTTCCCCTCTGTTTGGACTGTGGTCCCTTTAAAGGATGAGACGGGGTTAACTCACCTGCTGGAGGAAGAGTGGGTTTAAAAGACAGGAAGTGGTAGCTAGCAGGTGAGGAGTAGTGTGGAGGAGGTTGGAGAGTGGGGATCTGTGTACTGCTGTGAGCTTGAATGTCATTAATCTTGCTTGAAATCTGTAGACTGGGAAAGTTACCCTGGAAGTCTGGGACTGTTTAAACTGCGATTGCAGCTCTGAAATCTTCATGTCGGTGAGACTGTTCTTTTGTGTTGTACTGAAGAGTTGCTGTTTGAGTTGGCCAGCTGGTCAGTGAAGATGACCTGTGTTGTTATGTTGCTGCTGTGAAGCTATTTCAGTTAATAAACTTTACTTTATTTGCAAAGCCTGTGTCCTGCGATCCTGCTGGATTCCCCTAACATTACAGTACATACATGAGATGTAAAAAAATAACTTTATTACATACTTTTGGAAGTCCTTCAGCACTCTTAATAATTTCCAGGAAGCAGCGCTTTATTAAATTCCAACATTCCTCCAGAACCGGGTCAAATACAATTTTGGGTTCTTCCACCTTGAGCTTGATGATGAGGATTTGCGGTGTAATGAATTTAATTTCATCATATGTGTCACCAAAGTCATTTCCCTCCTGACAAATTATAAATGAATACAAAACAATAAGCAATAATAATTTAATTTACGACACATGAAATTGTTATCAAGACAAATCATCAGAAATCAAGATATATATTTTTAAATCATTGTAGTTGAACCATTAGTTCTGAAAAAATGAAACACTGCAATTAATGAATATTAATGTGTTTTGTAATACTCTAATAAATTCATTGCACATAGGAAGAAACCTTTCTGCTCTCTGTAAGGATCAACATTTATGTTAATTTTTTTTCATTTTCCTTTTGGGCAAATACAATAAACCACATGATGTCTGCCAATGAATGCAAGTTTGATTCTTAAAGAACAGAATATGCTATCTACGCAGATGATTAAAAGCAACTACTTTTCCAATGCGGCACAGCATCCACTGCGTTGAGTCAAAGATCCCACACAGCATGTAGTGCTGCTGTTAAATAGCTGTCACTGCCAAAATGCAAGGCTGCTTACCTGCACATTACCTTTCCAACTGGCAAAAAGCAGCATATTGCTTGTAGTACAAATTAAGCTTCTAATAACTGAACATCCTGAGCCATTCATTTGAGGACACAACTAATTTAGTCTGTCAAAAAAATTACCTCTACCCCCCAATTAGATTTGACTAACGTGTACTTTCCCTCATAGATAAACTATTTTACCATTATGCTTTCATACATATTTACAGTTTTGAACTCTGGTTTAATTGAAAGGCAAATGTGATTCTGCAGCATTCTAAGTCAGCATATCATTGGTTAACCAACATCACTGGGGCTGTAATCATATCAAGCAAATAGCTGTTTAAAAACATTATGCTAAAAAAAAAAAAAAAAGAAGAAGAACTATGCATCTGATGAGGGTGTATACAGAGTAGGGGACATTTAGCTAAAACTTAAGATTAAACTAACTTAAGCACTCTAGGGCCTGTTCACATGACGTCTGTTTTCTGTGCTGACTTGATCCGTACGCTCCTGCACTAGAAAATGCATCCCAATGTATCCCTATGTGTTTTATGGGCTACAGTTCTCACATGCGCAGTCCGTTACGACAGAAAAAATACTGCATGTCACATTTTGTCCGGTCAGGAAACGCACGAACGCTGCAAAATCGCAATGACAACGCAACGGAAATGGAACGCAATGCAGCTAAGCAAAATATTTTTTATTCTACATAGAGATAGACAGACAGAGTGGGAGATAGACAGGCAGGTTGGGGTAGAGGTAAAGACATGAACTGCAAACATTTTGAACATGCCCATTACCTTTCCATGGACATACAAGTAAAGGAATAAAAAAGGATCCGGGTGAGCTTGCAAATCCTCATATAAACTCCAGAACTGACCCTTGGAGTCTGGGAGCCTCAAGATCGGGTGTACCCAATAACAAAGTCTCCTGCAAGCTCGTTCTCTGCAGATTGCTGTAGCCAGCACCATCAACATGCCTGCAAACATGTGATACATGTCTGATCACCAGCTTTACATACACAAAGGGAAGTAGATGTTACGAGAGGGCGGAAGTGACCTCAGAGGAAGACTCTGCATACTGACAGACCCACGGCTTGAAAAAAAAAATGAACGGTCAGCATCCGGACCGAAAACGCATCAAAAACGCGTCAAAAACACTCTACATGAGTAGCACCGCGTCTGCAGATCCGCACCTGATGCGGACCTGATAAGGACCTGAAAATCATGTGAACAGGCCCTTATGTCTCCTTGTTACCTGGAAGGGTGTTCATTCTATCTATTGATATGCATTTCTTAAGCACAATACAAGATCCCAGTTCTAAAAACGTTTAATAACTCATAATGCTTATATATTGTGATTCATGGCTCTAATAATAATGTAAAATATTGGTTGCATACAGAGGTTTACAAAGATTGTTAACATGCCTTAAGGAAGAGGTATTGACAATTTGAGTCTCTACTGGTTCATAACGGTTCCAATATTCACATTTGGTCCCCAAATGTAGATACATGGGTGCTACAATCACTAAGCATAATTATGCTGTATATTTGTGTCACATAACTCTACTTGCTTAGGAAGTTTTAAAAAGTTTTCCCAAATCTAAACATTCCTATGAAAATTAGCTTTGCATGCAAATGACAGTCCCTGACATCTGATTGGAGCCCCTAGGGCAGAGATGTGCACTTAGGTAATCTTTCTGTAATTTCTTTATTTTTAAAATTTCTTTTAAACAGCTGTTTTGCTTGTATACATGCATATTGTAATATTTTGTTAAACTCTGGTGAATAAGCATTTTCTATCTATTTTGGGATATTATATATAATAATCAATCTTTTTGTTGATTGCTCTGAAGTGCAGAAAAATCTGGAAAGACAGAATTAGTCTGCTGTTGTATGTGTCTGCAGTCTTAACTGGCAGCAAAGATGAAGAGGCCATGAATTCCAACCATCAGATGTCCTTGCAACACTAGTTCCCTCATTCACATCGCTTGCACTGTATACATGAGAAAGGGGATTCCTACTTGCATTCTGTGGATTACTTGATAAGAGTGGGCCCTCTTCAACGTGAAGAGACGTCAGGCTTTGTTTTGGGAGATTTCACCTAGGCAGTGATATGGAGGCATTTTAGGAAGGCTGCTGAGAAGTAACCATGGGGAAGGTGCATGGGTGCTAAGTAAGCAGAATGCCACAGGTGCTTTTAGAAGTAGGGATCAAATGCTTTCTGTCTTCAGTGTACCAGATCAAGTGAGGTGTGAATAGCTAGTTTACTCCTGACTGTGACTGACTTCCTCCTCCATTTGAGAGTAGATTTGTCAGCACAAATATCATAACAGTGCTAGAAGCTATCATGTACAGCAGAGTTACTTGCTTATGCTATTCACACCCTATTCATGCTATTGCATTATGGTAATGTGCATGTTACTGCAATGCCTGCTCAGGCCCATCGTTAATATTGATTGGACCTATGGCAAACATTTTCTTGGGCCCCTATGCAATTTCACTCCCCACCCAAACATCCCAAAAAAAAAGGGATGAGATTTGACCCCTCGTGAGATGTCACGTGCGCACAGCAGTGGTAGAGCAACACTACGCAATGCCGATCAGATAGTAAACAGAACAGTGCCAGGTTTGCAGGGGCGAACTGACAACACATGTACTCATCCTCCCCTCGGTCTTGTACCATCCTCCCCCCGTGCTCTCCCAGCCAGGTCTCACTCACTCTTGCTGGCAGTGATCAGGTTCTTGCCATCTTTCACCAGGTCTTTGTTTTACTTGCTGCTTCTGTCCAGCTCCGCCTCTTGTGCCCAGATCCTTTCCTGCAGCCAGGGTCTGTCCAAGTAGCAATCACTGAACTCAAAGGCTGCAGCCCCATTATTGGATGGCAGGCTTAGATCCGCGCTGCCTCCTTGTAAATACCTTAATAGGCAAAGGATCCAGCAGCACAGAAATAGGTGGCTGGGATCAGAGGGGGCCAAATCAGCTCTCAGGGCCAGACACACTGCGCATTCCACACAGCGGAGCCTTGTGACAGTGTACGGGAATGTTCAGTGTTCATTCACAGTGGACAGAGCAAAGAATGGGAGCCAAGTCATACAGTAGACCCAACATTCCTACAGTGATGGGCCCCCTCCTGGCCAAACAGTCAGTCCGCCCCTGCGTGTGTGTATCTTTTGCGGGCTCAAGAGGGAGCTGCTTTGGGACCCACAACAATAACTGTGCCCAGGGCAACTACCCCTTTTGCCCTTGCATTAGGTAGCCCATCCAAAAGAATGTGCTGCCTCAAAGTAACGCACATTATCACGCATCACTTTGAATGGGCCCTTAGTGTAGCGTGTAGTTCTGGGCTGATAGAGTATACCATTGCAAATTTACAAGTATTTTTATCCCAGCCCATGACTTCCTTGTTGTCAGTAATTACACTAATGTATAACCATAAACGTCCATTGCTGCTGTGTGTGTGTGTGTGTGTGAGATCGGGCACTGACATTCCTTCTTAAAGTGCACCTGTGCCTACACTATGGATATTAACTTGCTTAGGCCTCATTTATATGGGTGGTAAGGGGTTGCTATAACTTCGCAGTCGATCTGCAGTTTTACCACCCACCAGTTGCCGACTACAATGGTAGCACTGCAGCCGAACAGTGCTGTAGACATTGAGGCAGAATGGCAAGAAAATTACAGCATATCGCGTTTGACAGGCAGTGCCACTTCTGAAATGGGACATTTGCAAAGAAAGGGACTTGTCTGCAACTGCATGGGTATAACATGGTAATGCAATAGAGAATTCCCGTTTGGTTGAAAAAAAACCCCCTGTATTCAGGAGGTGGCTGTATCGCCTCCTGAACACCGGGCAGCCACTGCTCCACCACCCTCTAAAAAGGGATCTACTGCAAATCACTTTTCAGAGGGAGGTGGTGACTGCAACCCATGTGAAAGAGGCTTAAGTGTTATGTTTCTCCTGAAAAAAAACATGCAACAATAAGTGACATTTAAAATGTGTAGCAATCTAAAAACGCGCATTTTAGGCCTGAAAATTACCTAAAACTCCAAAACATTATACCTTTTCTGAAAGCAGAAAACCTGTAAAATAAAAAGATCATAGTTGCAAATTTGCATGTCAAGAAATGTTCGTGCAACTGTTTTTCAAACCTATATTTTCAGTGAAAAATACACCAAAATTAATTGGCTGCAACTGCATGGGTATAACATGGTAATGCAATAGAGAATTCCCGTTTGGTTTGCACACAAGTCCCGTTTGCACACAAGCATACCAAAATTCTTGATTTTTTGCATAATTTAAAAGACGAAACTGTGTTGAGTAAATTGATATCATAAATATATATCAAGCCGTTAAAATTCTGTGTGCCTGCAAGACGGTGAAAAATTACGATGTTCAAAATTGCCCATAAATAATGGCCTTGGAATGATTCTTCTCACATGCACAGCCATACCCAAGATATGTTTGGCTATATCACTGTTTATGTATGAAGGCCTTTTTTAAAATTCTTTTTATTAGATTTTAGTTTTTTTAAAACACTTTTCCATTTTTTTTTCACATACAAGCTCCTACTGCAACAGTATGCACTTTGCTATCAGGAAGAAGCACACCGACTCTAATGATTCTCTACTATTCCCAGCTTATGTTTCATAAACTGACAGACCAACAGCACTCGTAACACTGCTTCTCTGTAGCCACAAGATGTAACTAATTACTTCATGAAAATCTAACATTATTACCCAGAAAGAACAGAGCCAACAACAATTACAATTGATGGAAGCTATGTGGATGATAACAGTCCTGCTTCATTTTAGCAAGCCTGAAGAATACATTTATTAGCATTTGATCGGCCTTTGGCACTTGCTTATGCTCATGCTTGATCACTGCATGAATACATAAATAGATAAAATAATTTTTAAGGATTGTCTAAAAAAATAATACTGTGAGCAGATAAGTACTAAAATAAGATAGTATTTCAGTTGAAAAATACAGAATGTTATTCACAGTTAAATATTTTTAAAAAAATAATATTTCAATGGAGTGCGTCACTAGCAAAAAGGAGGCAGCTGTATGTATCAAGCACTTTTTGGCTTTTGTTTTTTTTTCAAAGCTCAAGTACCCTCATCTTCTAATTACCTTGTGTATATTAAAAAAAGAAACCAAGTCCTGAAGAGAAATGTTGACCATCCCACGTAGCTGTAAAGACATCTGAGTTGACACGCATGCAAAAAACTCCTGAACCTGCAAAGCTGAATCCTCCTCATTCTGGGGTACTAAATGGATCCATTTATCCTTATGTGATATAAACAATGAAGCACAGGCTGGTATCCATCTGAGATTAACAAAAAAAAAGAAATCAGAAACTTCATATAGGATACAGTGGCAACACTTCATTTAGGGGGTTATTTACAAAGGAGTTCAAGGATCTAGGCGTAGCTTCGGTTGATCCTTCAGCTCTCTTCGGCCGCCGGAGCACTTTGGTTCAGTCGAACCGAGGGCTGCTGTACGGGCTATTCACAATAGCCGAAGCAGCTGAGCCGAAGGCATATACTTCGGCTCGACTGGGCCGAAGTGACAGCCGAAGCGAGGCGAACGGCAAATGACAGTTCGGCAGAGCCAGCTGTGATCTCACGGTTGGTTCCGCCCAGTTGTAATGACAGATCAGTGTTCTCAAATGACCTGGGGACGCTGATCTGTCATTAAATATTAATTGGGCGGAGCCGGCCATGACGTGACGGCTCCACCCAACTGTCATTTGCGGGCCTGGACCTGCTAGAAGACTAGCAGGTGCCGGCCAATAGGAAACAGTTGGGCAGAGCTAGCTCCGCCCAATTGTTTTTTTTTATTCTTTTTTTTCTTTTTTTTAAATCTTTCTTTTTTCATTTTAGTATTTATTTATATTTTAATTTTTTTTTAACCTTTCAATATTTTTCACTATTTTCTATTCTGCTCGCTACCACAGAGGTACCGGCATTCGGCTATTCACTCACTGCCGTTCGGCCCGTATGTGAATAGCTGCCGGGGCTTCGGCTCAGCCGATCCAGATGTTGGATCGGCTGAGTCAAAGTCCTTCTACACTGACCGAAGTGCAGCCGATGTACGGCTGAAATCAGACATACTTAGTTCGGCTCACTTCACTTCGGCTGGGTTATTCACTCGCCTGCCTTTGTGAATAACCCCCTTAGCCTTCAGCATGCACTTGTTTTGTATGCATGACACTAAAAATTTGCATTGACAAAAAAAAAAGATTATGCATTACAACAACAGATTTTAATAACATGAAGCATGAAAAAGCTCTTAACAGGCTGTATGTAATGGGACAGACTATAAATAGCCTATGACAACCAATCATAAGTCATCTTTCATTGTTCCAATTGCTCTGATGGAACTCTGAAATGATGCTAAGGGTATCTGCTTTATGTCAGTGTTTCCAAAACTTTCATCTGTCATGTACTGTATTTCCAAGCACCTTTACCTTTTGTAATAATGGGGTACTAACCTGTTATCTCATAAATGTTCGAAACGTATCTACATGTTTAATCTTTCTACTATCTTCTGCACATACCTTTGGGTTTCGAAAGAACATTAGTACTGGAGACCTCCCCTTTAATATGGCAGATATGCAGTGGTTGTTATACATTACTAAACTCTGCAGTTGCTCTGTATGGGTTCTTTAAGTGAGTGACCACATTAAAATGCAATGCCTAACAGTCAATATAAGAAAATAATTACTGAGATTCAGTGTATTTTAAAAGAATTGAGTTTACCACTAAATAGTTTTAGTGCAGTGTGTTCAACATGAAATTGAAACACCTTATCAACCTTAATGCCTAACTTAATTTTTACCATATACAGAGTGTCTTATAATTTGTAACCAACAGAATAATAAAGTACTAGGTATTACATTCCAGTTTACAGCGGGTTTAAAGATTGCAGGTAATAAGTAGCTTTAATAGCTCAGGAGTGTTGTATGTAATTGCATGTTAATAACAGTCATTAACTGTAGACGTACATTCTCACACATGCAGCCCACACTGTTTTACATTGAACTTACTTATTTCGCAAATTGGTATGGGCTTCTAGACAATGCTTTTGTACCAATTCCCCAAATTCAGCAGGTAGCAGAGGCAGGTTGCTAGACAGCATTTCATTGGTACGCACAAACCTTAAATCACTAAATCTACAAATAAAAAAACAGAGACGAAGTTGAATATTACTGCTCTATTATCACAGATGGAATTTATCAAATTTAAAGCTGGGAATGCTGCCCTTAGCAAACCTATTTAAATTTGGTTGAATTTAACAGAACATCAATTTAAATGAGAAACAAGATTACATGCAACATGCAAATTGGAAGGATGGGGAGGGTAATTTGCTGATCCCAACAACCATTTCATTATATTGTGTGATCAGACTATTTTTTTAAGCAGTAGAGGAACTGTGTGCGGGCAAGCATAGGTCCCTTTGAGATCTCTGGGACCTAAGCAAATAGATCTGTCACTGCTGACAAAAGTTGACCTACAACCACCTAAAATGGTAAGAGAACTACATCTAAGAGACTTCTAACGCAGACAAATTTATCATATATTATAATGTATAATTATAAAAAACATAATTCAGTATTGAGGCCAAGGAGCAATACTGTAGTATACTACCAGCACATGCTGCAGCAACATATGCATGGCTTTATAAAGATAATATGAAGGTACAAACCAGCAGCAAATGCTGCCTGCAAGAAAACCTTCCTTGAAGAGCAATTAGTTGATCATGTGCAGTAATCTGTGCTTTAGCATGTTATAAACGGACCATTTTATGGTACAGAGTATTTTTTTATTCAAGAAAACAGTGCATAACATTGATGGCCATTTTGAATTAGCAGATGAATCTTTTGAATATGTGAAATATACAGCCTTTAACAAACAAGAAAAAGTGAAATGTGGAATTTGAATCAACTCATAGCAATCAAAACTGATTTTTGAGTATTCTCACATCTACACATGATTGTTTGAGCTGTGTTTTCTTAAACCTTCCCACTGCTTACTGTGTAATCCACAGCTGTTGTAAATCCAGCATCATGGGGTTCACTGTGAACAGGTGGTCTTCATTCCATTTGTGGGCATCTCCATATGAGGAGTGCCAGGGCACTGGAGCACGGATCACCCGAAGTGGAAAATAACGAGGAATGTTGCCTATTAGAAGTCTGTCTTTCTCCCCTGGATCCTTCAGGATATAATCAACTGGAAATTGAAATGTTATCATTAAATTAAAACTCCACTTGTATTAAATAATTGATACAACATATATAAGTGATACACAAATAATATTTGGTAATTAATGTTATTTAAAAAAAACCTTCTCCAAAATGTAATTTCCTGCCCTTGCAGCTGGCTTACAAGCTTTTCTAGCAGTCTACTTATTATAACACGGTGACTGATCATGTGACTATGTCAGACCCTTCCACTTAGCACTCAGGAGGAAGGGTTTCACTATCCAATGTAGATTTTTCATTATGAACAATGCAGCATGAAAGAAGAGACTTGATGGCAACTGGAGCAATGCAAAACTGTAAGAATGAGCAACTAGAGACAGAACACAGTTGGTCATTCATTTTTGGTGGCTTGACCCCAAAAGTTTAATAAAAAGGTCATAGATTTTTTTAAATAAAAAACAGGATATTTATTTTAAAATAAGGAACTGTCCTGAAATGAGGCTTTATTTTTGGGAAATGACAAAACGAGACATGGGAATACCTTCTGCTTTAAGAAGGCTTTACTGTGCTATGCACTGATTAAAGTTGAGGGCTTTTTTTTAGCCCTTTCTCACCATAATCTGTATGGTTACACTGTCTAATTGGGTCCCAAATCTTACGCCATAGAAGAAGCCAAGGCTCCTGTACTAATAATGGCCAAAAAGCCTGAAACAGCTGTGTTAGGTTTAGAATAAATGGCTATACAATAGTAGGCTATATTTGTAGTATGCAGCAGAAAAACGGGTTGTACATTTGGTTGTTTGGGACATAAAGGAATGATTTGTATGGCTTTGCCCACTGTATTAAAATAAGGAATAATTTCCTTTTTTGCAGGGGGATATGTGAAAGAATCCTTTAGTAAATCAAACCCTATGTTTGGCTTACAAGTCAGTCACTGGCATCTACCGCTACAGAGTACTATATTCATGAATCATAATTAGATGTAATTCATTATGTACTTTTTGTTACAATTAAGAACTTTCTACTCAGAAAAGTTCCTAATTTTCCATAAGTGCAATGAGATATAATACTTATATAATAAAGCCATAAAAAGAGTTTATATGCATTGGATTTGTCATATAGTATGTATAATACAAACCTTACTCTATATAACATGAAAATAATTTGTTCTTCATTTTATAAGATAAGGGAGGAAAACAATGTGCAATCTTTACGATTAGCACAGCTTCCACATTCTGTCATAGAGATAAAGTCCTTGTTGGACTATTGCAGATGGCAGAGTGTAGAACATTTGAAGCTGAATGGGGCTTGCTACGTCCTACTGTATGCAGCATAGATGAATGTTTTGTCCCTTTCGTAAGCGAATCCTAACATTTAAAATTTAAATCCTGTAATTTTTTTATCATTCCTATGAAAAATTTATTTTGTATTTGAGTCACCTTTTGATCCATAGAAGCCTGAAGAGGATGAAGCAGAGGGGTATTGAAAAATATTGAAAGCCGTGCAATTTAGCCCTAATCAGCATGTTAGAAAATAGACAGGTTTCATTAAAACCAGGATAACAAAAATGTGTTCTTCCATTTGGGAATTGAGGAAGGCTATGACTTGTCAAAAGTGCAAATGTTATTGTTCAATTTATTCCTTTTTACAAAATGCACTTAAAATACATTTCTGGTACAAAAGCATTGTCAAGATATTTACAAATGCAATGAAGTTTCTCATTACATTTGTGTATTTTGGAATGCAGAACCAGAAAAACAAAATGAATAAAAGGATGAAAATTTTAAAAGCTTACATATGAATGTTAAATAAAAATAGAAAAGATGAATTGACAAGGAAATAAGGGATTAAAAAGGTTAAGGTTACTATAGGTGAATAAAGTGTTAAAGGAGAACTATGAGGTGCATGCTTTTCACTCACCTCATAGTTCTAACCTCTGACAATGAGACTGTCACAGGTCGGCTCAGTAGATCGAGAAGTGAGCGAACACATACCGGCGTGCGCTCACCTCTCGATACTGTCACAGCTCTCTGCCGGGACAGGGGAGGGGCTGGATTCCCCTCCCCGCTCTGATCCGCCACCGGGGGGAGGGGGCGGGTACAGCTGGCTCTGTCTCTAGATAGGCAGAGCCAGCTGTCACTCAAGCAGCTGGGCAGATCCAGACATAATTGTCGGATCCGCTTTAGCTGCGGCGTCTCAGTATACAGCGGGCAGTAGCATGCGGTGTACTGTGGCGTCTCAGTATACCGTGAGCTGTAGCTCGCAGTATACTGAGCTTAGGGTGACGGGAGGACGCTAGTTTGTGTCCTCCCGTTACCCTAAGGAGAACTATGGGGAAAAGCCTTAACCCCATAGTTCTCCTTTAAATATAAAAACATTTTATTAAAAATTATAATTTATTTTGACAAAATGTAAGATTTGTTGGGATTGCCCTTAAATGTATATAAAAAGGACAATACTTTGATTTGTGCATAAGCACTAATTTATGACTAATTTATTTTACATTACATTTGATTCTGCAGGTGATTAATTTCACCTCCACTTCTCAAAGTTTTTCTGAAGTCTATTGCCGTGTAATTATGCACAACTTTATTTTTATTTATTAAGTATTCACCGCAATGCAAGTCCCCCATTGCAGTCTACAAGGTAATGCTGAGAGAGGCTATTTGCAATGCAGAGAAACAAGAGTGGTAGTCTTGTAGTAGTCTTGTAGTCCTACCCAAGACTTCAGAAAACCCTACTTAGTCTAACAATGTGAAAAAAATAGGTGTAAAGCCTAAAAGTACATTTTAGACTGCATAGGCCAAGATCTGCAGCTGACAGCATTATTAGACATACCTTTTTTGTAGCAATGGTCCCCTTAAGTGCCACAAATTGCCCTCCTGAATTGCCTATACAAAAATCGCTACCTTCATATCCATAGACAGGACTGCACAACATGACTTTGCCTGAGCCAGATAATTGGTTATTGTGGGTTGGGGCAGGAAAGGGCATACACTTCACAATCAGAAAGTTGACAGAATTCAGAATTCAGGTGAGTTAACGATGCCCCTGTATGGAGACATCGATTCTGTCAGCTACCAGATGTAGATCTTGGTTTATGCAGTCTGCATTTCCCACAGGGGCATTTCAAGGTAAAAGACAGCAGCAAGAAAAAAAAAAATTTCTGCAGTTAGTCTATTTTCTAACTTACAATTCCATTTATCTTTAGGCAACAACTAGATACAGTTATAAAATCTGAACATTAAAAATCCATCGGACACTGTGAAGACAGCTTTCAGATTTCACTCTTAAATTTACCTTTTCAAGAAATAAACATGATACGGAAAACACTTCTTACATTTGCATACATTGCTCTTCTTCTTCTTCTTCTTCCGTTTAAACTCAACTAATTGTAAAATGACAGGTCATTTTTTTTACTTGAACGATATGAATTTTTTATGGTACTTGAGATTTTAATACTGTATACTGTTTTGTAACTTGGTTTCTAGATGAGAACCATTGACAGGGAAATTACATGCTGGGTGGTTTAACAGCCTATCTAGTAATTGATTCATTCATCAGAATTTGAAATGTCAGTTTTTATTTGTCAGGATATTCCAGGGGGATTAAACAGTGACTGAGTATTAACTAGGAGCCAGAGGAGAAACAAAGTGATGAATGTAAATCTATCTGTTTCACACATCATGAGAAGGGAATCCCTGTCATTTTGATGCGTTAGGTAATTTAGTTTATTAGCATTTAAGCCTATGTGGTAAAAGCCAAAAGTATTGTACCCTTCCACTTTTCCCCAAAGAATCCCAATGTGCTGTGAAGTAACTTGAAACTGACATGAGTAAATGGCTTCCACCATTACTTTTTTCATAGTCCATAGAGCAGCCACTTTGCTATTGCTTTAGGATATTATTGTCAGTTTCATCTTATTTTAAGGCAAAATAAAGGAGAACTATTGGGAGCGTAAAAAAACACTCTTCCCAATAGTTTAAGCTGACGTGTGAGACTGCAGCTGTCACACGCTGCCTCTATAGCGACAGAACTGAATGATCACAAACAAGTGATTGCTCAGCTCATGGCTTCTCCCTGCAGAAACCACTTCCTGCAAGGATCTCCTCCTTCCCTCTCTCTGTTCCTCCAGTCATCAGCAGCGGGGGTATCCCGACAATATTTTTGGGCAGTAGCCCACTATATGCAAATTTTGGGTCACAGGAGTACAATCAGTAAATGTACTCCTGTGACCCAAGAGAGAACTACAGCCAAATAGTTATTTTAAATTTCTTTTGAAAAAAGTGTAGTGGTTCCAAAACTTGACTCAAGCTGAAACTTACAGCAAATAGTAAACTGGGGAGTTTATTTTTTTTAGAGTCGGATATACCTAATTTACTCAGTGCAAGCAAATTAATTTTTTCCTTCGTCTTGCCAGGGCAGTTTTGAAACTGGTTGGTAGCTACAGGGCACCATAGAAAGTTCTGGTTTTAGACAGATAAACAAAAATCCAAATAATTTAGTACACCAGTGACTACCCAAAACTGAATCTGGGTGGAGGTGGAAGTGAAGTGGAACTCAAGTAAAAAGTTTTTTTGTGCTGGGACATCGGTCAGGTTTTTATTCTACCCGTGACTTACATTTGGTATGATTGCACCATGACAAGAAATGAGAGGAACAGGAAAGCGCAGATAGCAATAAAAACAAGCAAAATGCTTAACCTTTATTTGGCTTTACTTCTCTGCTGAGCCACAGGAGTACATTTACTAATGCACTCCTGTGACCCAAAGATAGCAGATAGCAGGCTAATGCCGCTATCTGCTGACAGCGCAGAGCCGCGGCGCAGCGGGGAAGGATCTCAACAATATTGTCGGGATCCAACCTGTGCTTGCCCCCTCCTCTGTCTGTCCCTCCAATGATTGCTGAAGGAACAGAAGGTAGAGGAGAATCCCCCTGGGGAGCAGTGACTGACAGTCCCTGCTCTCTTCAAGGAGAAGAGTCTGCGAGCTGAGCGATCATTGGTTACATGATCGCTTTGCTCTTGGTCTTAGAGCCAATGTGTGACAGCTGCAGGGAGAGTATATTTTACTTTTCTCGCACTTCTCTTTTGACCTATCTCCAGACTGTTTCAAACAGTGTTTTTATTACTTATATTTTCTGTATTGTCTTGACGTGTTATATTTCTTTAAACTTTTTTGAAAATTAATAAAAATTCTTCTTATTATTCACAATAGCCCGTACAGCTCCCGAACGTGGCCAATAGCCAATAGTAAACTAGCATTGTACCCGCCCTTTGCTGAAGTTCCCCATCAGGTCCATCAGCAGAGGGCAGGTACAATGCTAGTTTACTATTGGCTATTGCAAACTGAAATAGCCAATAGTAATGTCCCAATGCTTTTCAATGGGAAAATTCTCTTTTTTTTTTTCTATTCTGACATCGCTTGTGTCAGAATAAAGAAAAAAAGAAACAGCAGTGTTTCTCTCCTGGGCGGCCGGGAGGCTCCCAGAGCACCCGGGAGAATGTTTATTTTATTTTTATTTTACAGCAGCCGAGCCGCCGGACAATAGGAAACTATGGGGGGGAACTAGCTGTCACTGCTAGCTCCGCACAATCGTTTTCTATTTACTTTTTTTTACTTTTTTCACTCTTTTTCTGTTCTGCTCGGTACCTCAGCGGCATTCGGCTATTCACTCACTGCTGTTCGGCATCTTTAAGAATAGCCCGAAAAGCAGTGAGAAGCCTACTGGAGGTTCGGCTCAGCCGATCCAGATGTTGGATCGGCTGAGTCGAACTCCTTCTGCACTTCGGGTCGGCCGACCCGAAGCCAGGCGAAGCAAGCCGATGTACGGCTGATTTCAGCCGATGTACGGCTGAAATCAGCCGTACCAGCCTGAAGTGAATAGCCGAACAGTGTTCGGCTCACTTCACTTCAGATCGGTCATTCACTCGGCTGTCCTCGGCAGCTTAGTGAATAGACCCCAATGCTTTTGCTGCTGACTCTTTCCTCAATCAATATATTTACTATTACTCCCTACTCTATGATTCCCTGCCCATTTAAAACATGACAAGAGGATCTGACTCTTTCCAAAACCATAAAAACTTTGACTTTGTAAACTTGCATATCCCTTCTATGCAACAGAATTACAATCTGTTATGTAAGGCTAGGAACATTATAACAGCTGCAGCCTTTCAAGTAAGAAATTACAAAGGAATTAAATGGAATGTGTTACAGAGAAAACTGTGAGTTTAAACTGGTTAAAGCAGACATCTTTGCAACAAGCAAGTTAAAGACTAATATTGTGTTTGGTCATTGCGGTGCAAACAACAGTAAATTAAGGTGACATTAGGTCACTTGCTTTATTATAACTGAACCACATTCTGCACAGGCTGTGATGAGTCATGCAAAAGTATATTTGTGCTGCTCATAGTTTACCTAATTGCTAAGGGAGTCCGTTGCCGGAGCCCTGCAGTAAAGGTAAGGAAACGTAGGGAAGCGAGGTACTGTCACTGTAATTGCCTGTGTATTGTAACATTTGCTTGCTTGTTGGCCACTCATAGTAATGATTGTTGCCTGTATATTGTGATGATTACCCATTTGTTGCCTGCATATTGTAATTTTGCATATTGTAAAAACAGTATTGTTTCTTTAGGGGACCACATTACTATAATTTAATGCCATGCAGACCTGCCAATATTAACCCTTTCGCTGCCAAGGCTTTTTTGTTATAAGCCACATTTTAAACTTGAAAATTACTTCAAACCCCCCAACATTATATATTTTCTGAAAGCCAAGACCCTTTAATATAAAATGGTGGCAGTTGCAAATTTCTGTTGCATGATATTAGTGCAACTCATTATCAAACCCAAAAATGTAGTGAAAATTGCACTTAAGTTAAATTTAGTGCCCCAAAACAAAATATAATAACCACTTTTTAATAAAATATAAAAGAGGAGATTACAAGAGTAAATAGATACCCAGCATGCCCAGGTTAAAAATTATGTGTCTCCGTGAAACGTCGACAAAAATCAGTACCCCAAAAAGTCCATAGACTATGCTTAAAAGCCCCAACAGGTCATCCGTTTAGAGCAGGGATGGCCAAACTGTGGCCCTCCAGCTGTGGTGGAACTACGAATCCCATGAGGCTTTGCAAAATTCTCACAACCACAGACATGACTCCCGGAGATAGATGCTTCATGGGATTTGTAGTTTCACCACAGCTGGAGGGCCGGAGTTTGGCCATCCCTGGTTTAGAGACACCCATAAATATTTGCCCTAGAATTATTGTTCTCACTCTTGCGTGCGTGGCGATACCCAACATGTGTAGTGTGATCATCATTTTTGTACGTAGGCGCACCCGACCCGTGTTTTAGTAAATACGCGTGCAATTGCGGGGGCGGGCACCTTTAAAACTTTTTTTGTATTTTTACATTTATTTTATATTTTTTAAAGCTGTTTTTTTTTACTATAATTGCTATCACATAGGGGGGCTTACAAGCCCCCCTACAAGGTAGTGACAGGTCCTCCAAAAGACCCCAAGTGTCACATTTCCACATTAAATAAGCAATTGAAGTGCAGATCGCACTTCAAAAGGCTTATTGCTTGGCTTCAGTAATTGAGCAATGTCGGCTCAGGGACCGGAAGACATATAATACTCGTCGCTCCCGATCCTGTAGAGTGTGGAGAAGATCGGTGAACAGAAGTGCGTCGCTCTCCTTCCCAGCTTCCTGCCGGCACCCGAGATGCTAGGCCTTGGCCCCTGCAAGAGGGGCAGCGGAGCCCAGAAAACACAGCAGGGGGTGTTGGGTGGGGAGGGGCACTTTACCAGCCCATAGAAGCAATCTGGTGGGAGCTGAGCGGCCAGAATTGCTTCTATTGTAAAGCCAACAGCCAGCTTTACAATTGTAAACAGAGTCCTGGTGTTCTGTTAAAATCTCCGACCCATAAAAATCTCGGCGCACCAGTGCCATCTGGTCTAAATCTCCTACTGGCAAGTCACCGGACGTGACGTCACCAATCGGAGATCTCGATGGGTTGGAGCTTTCGACAGAACACTGGCGGCTAAAGCCGCTGGGAGTCTGTTTAAATCGGCCCGCTGCCAATGACGTACATAGTGGATGAGAAGGGCTTAAGTCATGCCCCTAAAAACTAATATTTTGGTCCCAACCCCATAGCTTGCTGTACCGCACTATTCCCACCTATTGTGTCCCCAGTTTATTGACCTTTTATTGTATCTTCATCTCTCAGGTAATACATACTGTACCTGTAATGTTACACTTACATATGTGTGCTCTTAAGATGAAAAATATAGTTGATGCTAGATCCACTTTAAAGATAAGTACTGAACAGACTTGTCAAGCACAGCCTAACAAACGTTTCTTCTTAATCTGACATCCCTTAGCGGTATAACAGCATCAGAAGAAGGAGCTCTTACCAATACTTTTCCTGAGGCTGATGTAGTAATCATATGCAATCTCTTCCCTTATTTCTTGAAGCAGTTTCTCCAGAGCTGGGTTTTCCAAAAGCTGGCTGGAAACACTTGTTAAGATTCTGTCCATCTGTTCCTTCTCTTGGGGAGCTAGCATTTCTGACTGAATCTCATGGTGTATATAGTGAAAATACCTCTGAAACATCAGGAGTTGTTATTTAGCATAGCAGAGAATGAAAAAAAATGTAATGTTTACAAACATATGAGATGCATGAAAGCACACAGAATTCTTCTCCGAGCTTCTACCATCCTATGGGATTGTTAGAAGCTTGATAAATACTGGCTTCTCACAATTGGTCTGACTGTTTTGGGACATGAGTTAAAGTTTTTGAATATATATGCCACAAATAACTTTTATAACACAAATAGGACTGATCTTGTAATAAAAGAAACTACTCAAATATTACCTTTTGTTATTCTGCCTACTCTAAGCTGCTGAAAGTTGAGTTGAGATGCAAAAGTCTTGCGATGGTTGTAAGGTGTGTGCCCAGCATTAGCCTGGAAGAACTCCTGATTGATACTGTTCAACCCTTGACAGCACAATAAATTGATTGCTGTAACTTAGATTTAGAATGTATGGAGATGTATAATCGCACAATTAGCCCAGATCCGTCCTAGAAGAATATTTACTGCATGTAAATGTAGCTGATGCGGTAACTTGTGATGCTCTTGTTGTTCTGTGTACATAATGAGGGCTGATGATGATCTGCCCTCATTATGTAAATTCACATACTCAAGAACTACCATAATAGTGCAGATTTATCTCTAGCAAGTACCTCTAGCAAGAATAAGAAACTTTATTTTTGTAAGAACTTCTGTACAGTTATTCCAAGTAAAAGTAAACCAAATGGTAAAACATATGAAAGCGCTGCAAAATAGAACAATGAAAAAAGTAATTCCGATGAAAGGTAACCCATAGCAACCAATCGGTTTTCCATTCACTATAGTATGATCAGTAAAATATAACACCTTATACGTAGCAAACGGTTAATTCACATTGCTCTTTGCGTTATTAGATTTTTTTAAAAAGCCAGTTACATAAATTAAAGATACATGCCTATTTCCAAAGGTTTGCAATACAAATTTTATTGTACAGCTTTAACAATGGTAAATATAATGATTACAAATCTATGGGGACCCTGAAGAGATTCTGTGGATTGAAAAGGAGCTGGAGGGAACTGGCTAAAGGTGGCCATACACCTTACAACCATTGTACAACTTTTTTTGTCCAGACATCTCACCCTCGTTCAACAGCCCATCATGCACGGACCAATGCAGTTTGCAATTAACGTTTGTCAGCACCACTAACTGCCCGATTTTCGTCAATCGAAATAACTGATTTTAGTTTAAGCATGTGCAGTTTTCATCTTGAGACTTTTCTTGTACAAAAACGCCACTAACCCGTCGATTTTCATCCAACTAGACAAACATTTTCTAGTGTGCTTGAAAGACGAAAATCTGCGAGTTGTACAGTAATTGTGGTTGTGCACTTCCCATAAACTGGCAGATTTTCAGATGAAAATGCGGTTGTAGACAATAATCTGCAGATAATTGTAAGGTGTATGGGCACCTCAACTTAACAGAAGAGAAAGTGCTGGTTTATTTAAAACAAACAAAAAAACAGTGTTTTGACCTTACTAATGGGTCAAATTTATTTGGCAAGTTAGTTTTTTTGAAGGGGAGCATGATTCGGTGTTACACATGAGTGGAGTGGAGTGGCACTTGGAAACTTGTATTTATGATGTTTTGGGACTGATTTAGTTATATATATGGCTTAGCATTATTTATGCATTATTTGAGTATATTGCTGTACTGAATTCATATCACAATAATGTTTCCCATATCATATTGAAAATTACATTAGACAAGAGTTAAAACTCAAAAATGCATTCAAGTACCTTCAATATTAATAAAAATTATTTGTGCATCACTCGGCTGTAGATCCTCAAATTATTTCTGAATTGGTGCTGACAGTGTCGTTCCTTCCGAAGGGTGCCTACTCTTGCTCCCAATGGTCCCTGTGTGTGTGTTGTAAAGTAGTCACCGCTCCAAGCTAACTCCTGTGATAGTCTATAATCTCATGTTTAGTTTACTAATTTGTATTGAGATTGTAGTCCATCGCAGGAGTGAGCTTGGAGTGGTGGCTACTTCATAACACACACAGGGACCATGAGGAACAAAACTAGCCACCCTGCAAAAGGAAGGACAGTGTCAGCACCAATTCAGAGATGATCTGAGGATCTACAGCTGAGTGATACTCAAATAAGGTCCAGTATTGTTTATAGTTCAGGTACTTTAATGCATTTTTGAAATGTAACTCCTGAGTTTAGTGTCTCTTTAATAAGGTGTTAGTTTATTTATGTGTGTTTATAATGTGTGTTTATAATGTGTGTTTATAAATGCTTTTATTTTTGAGAATCTGTTGTCAACTTTTACTGATAATTAGTACTGCGGCTTAGGGGTAGGATTAGGATTGTATTACAGGATTTTTTTCGTACTATAGATCACTCAAAATGGCCTATTTCAGGATCAGGTCCAGAATGAATGCAGGATGTGAGTATCTTGAGTCAGCTAATGAATGCGGACTGTATTCCATTTTTCAAACTGATGAACAGAGTAGAAAGTTTAAAGGGTCTATTCAAAGTCATTCATTCAGTGTGAATAGACTCAAAAACTAACGTTCTTTGTATATTTTCTTTTTAGGTTGAATGTAATGTAATATAATACTGCATTATGGCCACTAGACGGTGCTGAGGAGCAGAGGAAATAAATATTTATTTTCCACGCTCCTCACTTTCATCTAGTGGCTATAATGCTGCAAGGCTAATGGCTCTTCAAATTGTTTATAAATAGACCCCAAGTGTATTCAGTGTATTCCCAATTTTTAAGTTAAATTTGAAAAAACATCACTATGTTTGTTTGTTAAGTTTCTCTATTCACACAGTATACCTAAAATAAAGTATTTTCTTTTAGATGGAACTTTGGATTCGGCCTTTGGATGGACCGCAAGCTTCATTCTACAATTTTGAAATGACAGGAAACTCTGGCTGTCCCCATAGAAAGACACACACATACAGGGTTATTCACAAAAGGGTGAAGGGTTTGGAGAAGGCCGGAGAAGGGAACAATCTATGACAACATAGCTGATTTGGGAAAATTCTCCAATTCAGCTCACTTTCCAGTTCAGCTATGTTGTCCTAGATTGTTCACTTCTCCTGCATTCTCCAAACTCTTCACCCTTTAGTGAATAGACACCCACATAGAGACACTCTGGGCTTCCACTTTCATCAAATCTAGTTTACAAATGATAATGGAATCTGCCAGCACACTGCAGGTAGGGTTTATTAACCACCCCAGCCCCCTTGACTTCCAGAGGAAATTTCAGATCAGAAACTAGTAATATGAGAAAACATGCAATATATATGCACATATTTATAAGTTATGCTATGTGAATGAGAACATGTAACAAATATAATATAGGTGTCATTCCAATTTTGCTGCAAGAGTGGAAATACACTTTAAGCTGACCAGTACAACGGAGTGATATTAGCTCTCCAACACTATATAATGTTATTGTAGTTTAGTGAGGCTTACGTCCAGGTCCCTCTGAGTTGGTTCCCCACATAGTCTTTCCATTTCCTCTTCTTGCTTCAGCATTATCTGTAACTGCTCCTCTGGCGTTAAAGGTGTACTGTTTAAATGAACAATGGAGTCTGTCTGTGGAGGGTTCTCCATCACAGACAATGCTTCTTTAGAAGTATCCTTGGTCTCTACCCACCTGTGTAGTAATGAAAGCAACAATAATTAATGTGCAGCTTAATAAAAGCTATTAACAGTTTCTGTGGAATTTGGGGTGAAGTGGTAATTCCTGGTTTAAAGGAGTGGCCGATATGTGAAGAGCAGTGGTGGGAAAACAAAAAAAATCATCACTTGCTACTGGGGTCAAAGGACTATTTTTGCACAGGATTCTGATCCCATATGAAGCACAAGATTTTTATATATTTACTTAAACTGAGTTGTAAGTGCCACACCAGGAGAAGCTGTATCTGGGAGCCTGTTCGGATAGAACATGTACTATAGTTGCTATTGCCATTGGTCCGAAGATCTTTTAGCAAATTGTTTCTGTTCTTGTAAATGCGAGCCTCCCCCATGCATACAAATCGGGGATGAATGTAGAGCTGCAACAGTGCTCCACACGCCGCACCTCCTGCTCGCTTCATGCTTGCCGCTGCTAGACCCACCCGCCTGCACCCACGCTCCACACCTCCTCCCTGCCTCACACTCATCGCCCGCCTACATCCATGATCGGCACAGGGATGCGGGGAGAAGAAGTAAGGAGGAGCAGGCGTGGGGGATGACATCCCGCACTGACCAGCAGAGAGCCCGCAATGACCACATGACAGTCCGCATTGGCCACCTGAGAGCCTAATTAGGGAGCCGCCTGTGCTGCACCCACACGCACCCGTGAAACTCTCTGAACCCCTGGTGAGAGCCCACACAACCCTCCTGAGACCCTGGAGACATCAGGAGGAGAACCCAGAGCAACAGAGTATGTAGCTTCATATTATTCTGCATCGCTGTAATATGTATTGCTGGGATTTGTAGTTCTCTGTAGCTGATGCAGTTCTGCATTACTGTATAATGGTATTGCTGGGAATTGTAGTCCTCTATAGCTGTTGGTAGTCATTATTGCTGGGATTTATAGTCCTCTATAGCTGATGGTATTCTGCATTGCTGTGTAATGTATTGCTTGGAATTGTAGTTCTCTATAGCCAATGTCATTCTGCAATGCTGTACAATGTATTTCTAAGTAATTATAGTCCTCTATAGCTGGTGGTATTATTCTACATTGCTGTATAATGTGCTGAGATTTGTAGTCCCTCTACAGCTTGGAGTTAGTGGCAGAACTACCAGGGTCGCAGCAGTCGTACACGCGCACAGCACAGACGAGGCATCCCTACACTACCAGTGTGCTGTAATTTTCCTCAACCCATACTCTACCGTGTCTCTTCCAGATGCACATGTCATGAAGAAAGGGGGTCATGAAAACAGCTGATTCGGATGACTCGGCCCCACTAGCAGTGACACAGTCGAGAAAATGTGTAGAATCGAGAAAAATGATAGAACACTGACTTTGACACTGTCCGGCCCCTCCCACTAACCTCCCACTAACCTCCCACAGCTCACAGCCCAGAAGCATGGACAGCCAGCGGTGGCCTACAGTGGGCGAGAGTGCCTAAGTAGTGGACATGGAGCGGAGTAAGGCCAGAACCATGTAGGGAGCCCAGTGGGAGGAGAGCACCATCCCCTAGTCAGTCACCCCTTTCATGGACTTACTAGGAGTCTCACATCTCCCGACCATTCACACTACCGTTACATGGATGGCAAAAGTGGCAGATAGAGGCGGGGAAAAGGCAGAGCGGGAGGGGGGACAAGTTGCTGCACCATGGACCTCTGGGTTGTATCTGCTGAAGTCTGTTATAATTTGTTTAAAGCTAGAGCCAACAATTTAATTCGGATCTATACTCAACATTTTAACCACCCTTTTTTTTATAAAAAAAACCATTGTGAAAAATCATTTAGTAGTGATGAAAAAACATTAAGGATTTCTTCCTAGATTTCTACACATTTCTGTACAGTTTGTAGAAGAATATGTAAATGCTTAGCATTTGTATGAGCACAAGCTTTGTTTTACCTGTCAAAGTTATATTTATTCCTAGGAGACAGTTTTGGCTTTTTCTGTATGTCTGATGCATCCTTTGAAACTGAATCCACTAGTTAAGGAAACTGACAGACATCTTGAAACTACAAAGGAATGAACACCATAGAGGATATGTGTCAGAGCTGTTACTGCTAGAAAAGGAAATTTTATAAATGCAGGGTATTAAAATTTGGAGTCAACACTAGATCTATTAAATAATACCAGGGTTTCATACATTTTGATTGTAAAAGGAATCTTTCAGAATATGTTAACTTTCAGGCCCCATGCGCACAAGAATTAAAATACCTGTTTCCTGGTAATCATAAACTAAAGAAACGGCAACAACTTTTTGTAAACAGTTCAATCTCATAAGACTTAAAGTGGAAACTGACTTAAAAAAATACTGCTGGCATGAAGTCAATAAAAGCTGCTCTCCTACCTGCAAGCCTTGTTTTTTTCTAAATGTATAATGAGCCTCGCATGTGAAGTTCATTGGACTTTCTTGGCATGCTTTTGGTGCCAGGATAAATTAATTCCCATGCACAGGAAGTATGTAATCTGGTCCTGGTTAATCAAGATTATGCCAAATCTGTGGGAAGATGGGGCAAAGATGTCAGTGGTGGCGACAAAGCGAGGGAGCTTTGGCAGGAAAGTTTGCCATAAATGTGCAAATATGTTGTGCATACTTGCACCTTATGGCAAAAGCCCCAGGTGCTGGCAGCTGAGTTGAGCTTCAATTTAATGAACAAAAAGATAAATCATATATTGCAAGTTTTAATTGTGCCAAACAGCACCAAACGGTTAGAGGAAAGACTCTGACATTCAACACTCCTGAAAGTGTTACCTACCCATGAATCTCATGGAGACTGCAGCGCTAGAACAGAAAGTAGGTAAGAGAGATAGGTCCCCTTGGAGTTGAGTATACTACCTTTTCTCCGACAGGGACTTGGCATTGGAAGTTATTGAGAGATCTGACAGGGTAACTTTACGTTTCTCTAATAAACCTTTGCAGACTACATAAACACAGTGCTACATTATTTCCACATCTTGCAGTTCATGCCGTATCCTCTTTTGTCACTGTAAAACACTGAACTACAGTTACAAAATGATGTATAAAACGAAATTACAGAAGCGCACCGACATAGTGCACCAAATTAGACTTTAATAAAAGTTTATGAATACAACTCAAATGCACTTACAAGTATTTCGCCCAAATGTGAAAGACCAAAACACAGTAGAGGGAGGAAAGTATCCCAGCCTTCTGGGGCATCTTATAGAGGTAAGCCGCTGGGGTGAGATCGAGGATGCCTGGAGCAAAGAGTGCTCTTGTGTGAACACACAGTTCCTGAGCCAAGTATCAGCTTTTATTTATTTCTACAAATACTAGTGTTATTAACTGGTTTTTCTTAAACTACTTTCGCAAGACATGGAAAACCCAGTTGTTCAGTTCCATTGTACTTAAAAGGAGAATTATGGGGTGATTGAAAAACACTCATGCGACTAAATTAAAGCCGACCTGTGACACTGAAGTTGTTACAGGTCGGATCTTTTGATCGGAAGGTTAGCGAACACATACCACCGATCGCTGACTTCACCATTCCTCTCCCTGCAAAGAGCGGTGACTGTCAGGACATTAGTATATATCCTGCTGTGAGCCTGAAGAGAACTATGGCAAAACCATGGTCTCTCCATAAACAGCCACAGACTGCTAACAGGCTGAAGAAGGGGAAGAGATTTCCTTGAAATGTGTCCCTGGTTACAGCAGCATCGTGAGACCTGTAACAACGGAGGAAACAGAAGTTTTGGAGAAGGATTGGAGAGAGATTTAAATTGTCAGCAGCTAAGGAACTGTGTGTTCACTCAACATGCTCAGCATGTTCGGCCGACCTGAAGTGCAGAAGGAGTTCGACTCAGCCAATCCAACATCTGGATCGGCTAAGCCGAACCTCCGGCAGGCTACTCGCTGCTGTTCGGTCTATTCCTATAGATGTCGATCAGCAGTGAGCATTCAGCTCGGCTGTTCTGCTCGGTCCCTCTGTGGGACCGAGCAGAACAGAAAAATAGTTAAAATAGTATAAAAAACATAAATAGAAAACGATTGTGCGGAGCTAGCAGTGACAGCTAGCTCTGCCCAACTGTTTTCTATTGGCTGGGCGGTTCTGCTGCCGTCAAAAAAAAAAAGAAATCCCCATAGGAAAGCATAGCTAAATTCCTATTGGCTATTTCACTTTGCAATAGCCAATAACAAACTAGCTATTGCGCCCACCCTCCGCTGCTGTCAATCACCAGACGGGGACCTGATGAAGAACTGCAGGTCCCCCTCTGCTGATTGACAGCAGCAGTGGGCGGGTGCAATAGCTAGTTTGCTATTGGCTATTGCAAATTGAAATAGCCAATAGGAATCTAGCTATGCTTTCCTATGGGGATTTTTTTTTCTTTCTTCTGACGGCAGTTAACGGCTGCCGTCAGAAGAAAAAAAAAGAAAAAACCGAGCAGAGTGAACCTTTCTGTGAGAAAGTGTCTCTCTCCCGGGTGGCCAGGAGCCTATTAGACTCTTAGAGCATCCGGGGGAGGAATGACAGATGCGTTCCTGATTACCAGGTAACCAGAAACGACATCTGTCATTACACACTGAGAACAGGGAGAGGCCGCTCTCAGTGTGTAATGGCAGCGTCCCTGGTTAGCTGGTAAGCAGGGACGCTGATCTCTCTGCAAGTGGCCGGAGCCAGCCGTGAGATGATGGCTGGCTCTGCCCAGCTGTCAGAAGCAGGTAGTCGGCCGGTCATTCGGCCAGCTTTGGCTTTCAGCGCGTCTCAGTCGAGC